GGGGCGGGAGGGGGTCCGACATTTGTGACGATGTGTGACGAGGGGGGGGGAGGGGTTTGAGAAATGTGACGTCACATCAAAATGAGCAACTCTAAATAAATATAGACAACACGTTCTACTTAAATAAATAGACTTTTTAAATAAATGTTTTCGCCTACAACATCAGAGTGCAGCGCCACATTAAATACGCACTACAATGACAATAGTTTAAAGAGATTTGAAACATGTTTTATTTTCAAAATGGAAATATGGTTTTGGGGGGGGGCAGAGCTTTGTGACGTCATATTTGAGGGGGGGTCTGACTTTTTGTGACGCCGTGTGACGAAGGGGGGAGGGGTCAAAATCGTCAAAAATCGCGTGACGTCATTTATGGACGGCCCCTAATGTATTATTTACTGGGAGTCTTAGAGTAAGTGAAAAACTACCGATCAGCATGTGGAAATTATTTTTTTCTAGTTTTGAGAGAGAGAGCGTCAGCTTGCATTTCTCGTTATAATTGATGTACCGAATGAAAGGAGGGAACCCCCCGCCCCCCGCTTGTGTAAATGTAAACGCGCGCAAGCGTGCACGCCTTGCCGGTGTGAACTCTTACGTGTGTGAAGTGTGCACACGCGAACGCGTGATTGCGCTCAGCCGCAACCAACAGGCACAGGAAACGTGGTTTGGGGGTGGTGGTGGTGGTGATTAGTGTCGAGACGCGTGTTCGCCATTCTCGCTCACGGCTCGGCAAACTCTCACCCCCCCCATCCCCCCATCCCCCCCCCCCATCCCCCTCACCCCCCCCATCCCCCTCATCCCCCCCGATCCCCCTCACCCCCATCCCCCCCATCCCCCTCACCCCACCTCCTCACCCCCCCATCCCCTTCACCCCCCCTCACCCCCCCCCGATCCCCCTCACCCCCCCCCCTCACCCCCCCGATCCCCCCCGATCCCCCTCACCCCCCCCCAATCCCCCCATCCCCCTCACCCCTCCCCATCCCCCTCACCCCCATCCCCCTCACCCCACCTCCTCACCCCCCCATCCCCCCTCCCGATCCCCCTCACCCCGCATCCTCACCCCACCTCCTCCTCCCGCGCGCGCGCCGTGGGTTTGGTTTAACCCAGAAGCGGAGTTCCCCTCCCTCCCCCACCCCGGACGCTCCCAGAGGTTGTAACCAGAGACTCGGGGTGCCGCAGATCGGTGTCTCTCAGAGGCAGGCGGCAGCCGGGGTGAAAGCGCGAGTGAGAGAGAGACCGACAAGGCGAGTGACAGGAGACAAAAGAGCCCGCGGTGTTGTCCGTGACGCCTGAATAAGTTCGGTTGCTGTGCAAGCGACGTTCTCGTGTCGGTCGACGACGCGGAATCAAGCTGCGTCGTTTTCCCACCGAGCCCTGAGTTGTTTTTGGGTTGGGACTGTGTTTGCTTCTGCTTTGGATTATTTGCTGAACCTCCGCTGGACTTTACGGGGACGTCCGCAAGGTAGGAGAATTGTCTCACACGCGCGCACGTCGTGTGTGTGTGTGATCTTGACGCCTTGGACTCTGCTTTCTTGCTTGAACCTTTCCGATGCCTCTGTCGAGCGCAATCTCTGGAGTTGCGGCGGTCGTTAATGGGATCGAGGGGGACGTTGCCTCTCAAATCCGTGCGATGGCAGCTTCAATTGACTGCTTTGACACGTTTCAAATGGGGCTGGCGTGTGTGATGGAAAATCACCTTGTGCAGGAGATGATGTACAACATCACATCGATAATGACATGGCGAATGATGAGTGATGATAAGCAAATACGTAAATTGACGGACTGCCTCTTTGTAACTGACGGTTTTCTTTTTCGTAAAAATTCTTTATTAACCATCGCGATCAATTTGAAACTCAACGATCCCCCCTCGTTCCCTTGAATGCCATGAGCGTGACGAACGCAAACTCGGGGAGAAGCACCATCGACTTGTGCCAGCGTAAAGTGTCACTCCGCTGGGCATTAAAAAAAAACCATCACTAACCAGAACTCTTGCATTGCGGCAAACTTCCTGCCGTCGGCAAATGTCTGCGGTGACTATCGAAACCCCCCTCCTCTGTGTCTGGTGTGTTGTGGTGAGCAGTTGTCGTTAATTGAAGCGGAGACCTTTTGCAGAGTTCTGGTGGCCGTACAGCAGGGATTAATGGGGACGAAGAATTGGGTGCAGTGAGAGAGGGGGGGGGGAGGAACTGAAGATAAGCGTTGTCCTGTATCTGCAAAGAGACCTTTCATGTCCTAATATCTGCTGAGATGTCACATCAGATTGCTGTAGTTTTCCCACGAAATGGTACAGTTGACCAACACAGGCTGAATGAGAGAGATGGAGCTACAGCGCAGATGTTAGAGGCGCCACGGTGGTAAGATGTTAACTACCTCGCCTGGTATACAGGAGGTTGTGGGTTCGATCCCAACCCTCACGCCTGCTCTATATTTGGAGTTTGCGAGTCTCTCTCTCTCTCCGTGGTCGCGTAGATTTTTCTCCGGGACCTCCGGTTTTTCCCTCAATTAGAGTCAACTTGCGTTACGAGTATTTGGCTGCTGTAAATTTCCACATGATAAACCAACTTCTGAAATAGAACTGTATAGCTCAGCGTGGCCTTACCTGGTAAAATAAAAAATAAAATAGTTTCGTTTAGTTAGCGTGCTGCACTTGGGCCTCGACAACCTGAGTTGAATTCGTCAGCTCATGGGTAAGCGTTTTGGCGAGTAACCAGCGTTGGAAAGTATAGTCAAACGGCCCCGCATGACTAAAAAAGCCTCGAAGGGGCTTTCATCCAGCAGTGGATTGACAACCTTTAAATTATTATCGTAAACTATTTACGTATGTAAATAGTGACTTAGCCAACCATATTCAAACACACACACACACGTCACTCGTGTACTGTATTGAACAGCGTTTTGACATTACGGGCAATGACGATTCAGCTTGGAGGTAAAGAGAGAGGGAAAAAAAACGAAGTATAATTTGCGTGCTGTTCATTTTTAATCACAGTGGTTGATACGTACGCATGTGGGTGCGTTTGTGTTGGTAATAGCGGCCCATTACAAACTGCAAATTGCATGACTGCTGTAGACACGGCTTTTAATTTCACGCTGATTCTCTGGCAACTCGCACTTGACGGCCGTTACGAGGGCACGATTTTATTTTCTTAATTACACCACAGGGGCAACCTCGTCAACATAGCAGACGTTAGAAGTTCGTGATTTAGAAAAATGTGTTGTGTCCCCTCTTGCACGTTTACAAATGAGCAACTTCATCTGTGTCGCCTTTGAGTGAGTCTGTCGGGCACAGCACACGTGCGTGATCTTCGTACGGAGTTGAGCAATGGCTTATTCTGCCTCTAAGCAATCAGGGTATGGGACGCATTGTGTTGGTCATGAGCTGTGTATGCTCTTTGACCTCTGGTCAAAATATCTGTTTGGTGGTGGAGAAACGAAGCCCAACGAGGCTTTGGGCACCTTGAGCAACGCAGCTTTGTTTGGCATTATCCAGGAGAATTCTTCTTGTGTTACCTTCGACTCCTATCATCTGCAGGAGACGTTGGGTCTGTGAAAACGGCGATTATCAGCATCCCCATACTTCCAAATTTCCACAATAATTTACATGTTTTTACCTACGGATAGACGGAGTAAATTTGTGGATTCATGGAAAACAGGATTTACGATATTGGTCTCCCACAGTACTGCCATATATGTTGTGAGAGGCTCTCCAGGATATAAACAAGATTCACCCCGTCTGTAGAGGATAGACTTGTAAGGGTTACCTTCTCAGAATAAGTGAACATATTGGTGACCCAGTTCAGCCAGTCTTGCAAATGTGAATATCCCGGTCTCTTTAGTTCTCGCTGGGTTAAACAAAATAAACATGATATTTTGTTCCTTGTCATGCTGCCAGGTTTAAAGGGGGGGAGGGGGGAAGGCTGACCTAAAAGTAAGCTGGCAGCATGTACCTTAAAGCCCGAATCTGCCTCTACTCGGCTACTGCAGCAGCGGGCAGCAGCAGCTGATCTGATAAAGCGACCAAAATATGTGTACTGTAAGCCTGTTGTAAAATAAAAAAGTGCAATCTCGATTTTAAATGTGGAAATGGCCACCACGTGAACTGCGTCGTCGCTTTACCATGAAAATACTGTACGGTTATTTTAAGTCAACTAAAAAGCTGCTGATAGTGTGAAAAAAAAATAATCGGGGTGTTATTTTTTTTGGTCAAAGTGCTTCACTGGTTAATTATTAACGAAGCTAATGCCTCCCCCCCCCCCAAAGTATTTTTTTACACTTGCCAATAAGTAAACTTCCAGAGCTATTAACAGATTAGCTTGCAATTTTTCAGTCCAGTGGCTTCTGTTGTTTGTTTTATTTTCAGTTTCACTATTTCAGGTTATTAATCCACCAGCAGCTGATCCGACTTCAAGTATTCGGCAGCCACGAAAAACAAACTACGCACTAGCCCGCCCGCCCTCCAACGCGAGTGGCTTTTATTTAAGCGGGCCACGATGGGGACTGCCAACGCTTTGGATTATTCCTCCTGATATTGTATCCGTAAAGCCGTGTCAATGTTTATTATGGTTTTTGTACATTTTCGTGATGATCATTTTTCCTGACAGCTTGGCCCAAGGGAGCGATGTTTTCACAATATGTCGGTTTCAAAGAACTTGTGACGGAAAAAAAATACATTGAGAGAAAATAACCCAGACGATTTTTGCTCCCTTCTATATGCATCACAATGTTACCTCCAGCTCCTTCAAATGAAATACATATACAATTATCTTTACAGGGTACTATTTCATGATTAATGATCATTTCCCCTCATTATTGCTTACCTTTTCATGTTTCCATGGTGTGTGGCTCTTTGATTTTGCGGAATTTCCTTGAGGCCCTTTGTAATGTTGTGTTTACCCTCTGGCTGTGGCCAGCCCTGTGCCCCCCCCTCCTCCACACCACCCCCTCCCCAAGTCTTTGACCGGAATCCCTGAGTGTGGTTTTCCTTCCGTGCTCTTTTCCGGCAGGTGTTCCAGTGGCGACAACTTGAGAACCTGTACTTCCGGGAGAAGAAGTTTTCAGTGGAGGTTCATGACCCAAACAGGTGAGCAAGCGCCAGGTGTTAAACGGGTGGAGGGGTGGTGAGCGCGGGTGATGGAGTTAGAAATACGTGGGTCGCATTGATTGTTCAAAAGTTGCAGGAGGTGTGTAGGTATGGAGACCGTCATCCCACAGCGTTTTGACGACGGTGGTTCGTTAGGTGTTATCGCTTTTAGAAACTTTGGTCTCAATTCCACCCCCAACAAACTGCTGGAATCAGAATCTTTATTTATCCTCGAGAAATGCAATGAGCTATGGAGCTCGTTCTCACAGATGTAGAATTGGGGTTCCAAGGAAGAAATTGGTCCCAAGACCACGCCACAAAACCATTCCCTTATTAGTGTAAATTCTGCCCAGCGATGATTTTATTAAGAGAACCGGGACCCCTTAATATACTGTAAGGAAAAGAGCTCCATTGAAAAATAAGAATACGCCCCACGTGTTCTTCACGTTTAAGTGTTGGTCGTAGTTGAGGGGGTTCTAAGGGTCTCTCCAAGTCAGAGTGGCATCTATACTGTCAGCTTGAGACACTTGAACACGTGAACATTTGTTCAGGTCTCACTTGATGAAATGACGTGTAGTCTCAGTGCACTTTTAATTAATAATACAAGTTTCGTATTTGTGGATTCACACGAAAGTAAATGAGAGCATATTTAGAATATGATTCATTATTTACTATTTTAACAGGTAAGGCCTACTGACTTGTATAGCTAATTTTTAGAAATGACATAGCCACTCATGATAGCTGAACAAAGTAGCTCATAATGTGGAGATTTATAGTAGCCAATTATTCTAAATGCACGTTGATATCTAAATGTGGAGGGAAAAACCGGAGGACCCGGAGAAAAATCCACGTGACCGTGGGGAGAGAGACATCCAAACTCCAAATATGCAGGAATCAGGGTCGGGATAAAACCCACAACCTCCTGAATACCAGGTAAGGTAGTTAACATCTCGCCACCGTGGCACCCGAATAAAATAAAAATACATTCCCATGAAAATAGTGTTAATCAACTATTTGCAAACGTTCAACTGTTCGCAATAATTTTATTGTAAGCTATGGTTTTAAAAGGGAATTAAGGGCACAAGTTTCACTTAATCTTTTGTAAATAGAAGAGCCCGAGCTTCCCAGGGTGAATGCAGACTCATGGGAGCACGCCACGCCTTGCTGTGGCTTGCCGGCTTGTGGCTTAATGGTACAGCACAAGCAGTCGTTTATTTTCCTGTACAGACATGCAAAATATAAAACCTGCTAAGCAGTGTTGCTCAAGCAAGGCTTTTCCAGTCACTTGGGCGGTTGTTAAATAGATAAATTAAGTTAGTTTGAGGGCAGGTTCTTTTATGTAACCATGTGCAGTCGATCGGCACGTAGCAAGTGGGTGGGGTAAAGTGTGGGTACTCCCACCGCTTCTAAGACGTCAGGCCAGCGAGGAAGAGTAGGCCAACAATACCCTGTCGAGGGGGGCTCTCGATTAGTGGAGGCCTTTCAGGCAGCAGTGGCGTGAACAAGAAGTTGCATGACTGCACCTTTATTTTTGCCTTTTATCCTCTTGGGTAAACCAAACTGGACGTGGGAGCCTAGGTGATGTGCCTGTGCGCTCGCTCGTAAGAAGCACATTTGAGAGACTTGTGTAAGGTTACCTTTCGTTATTTGCTCACGTTTTTGTTGTGGCTACTACCAAAGCGTCGGAGCGAATGTAAACTTTGGCAGATACCTGCGATTTGGTTGGTGGCACTGGGCCCTTAAAATGGCATTGATACACCCAGAGAGGAATTGAGTAGATCATATCAAGCACAGTGAGACCCTTATTCCTTTGATGCAGAAATGAAATGTGCAGTACCTTTTAGACGTTTGTCACGCCCGTGTTATTGTTTGAGAGCACATGCTTTCAGCCACCTGTTTAGCCCCCTTTACTTAATGAGGGGCCAGCTGTCTTAATATTGGTTAAGTTTTTGAGAAATGTATTTGGGTGAGTGATGCCCCCTGCGGTGCTGAAAAAAGCAAATGATTCTTTATAGAGGTCCTCGACTTTCTGTCGGATCTCCCCTTGCGTTGAGCAACTCCGTATTTTTTTTGTTCAACAATGATTTGTGCGAGCACACGTTTTTACAAGTGGCCGGACCCATCAAACAGCTGACGTTGCATGACAAGGTCAAGTTATTTCAGTTGCGAATGTGTCTGTGTGTCTTTGTGTATCCCTGCGGGGAGCGGTGGCGTATTGGCCAGCACGCTGCGCTACGATCCCGGCAACCCGAGTTCGATTCCCGCTCACGGCCAACACCAGTGATGATTATCTGAACCTGTCCTAGGCCTCCCCTAGGTCGACTCGGCCTCAAATGAGTACCTGGTGCGGTGTGGTCAGGCATGGTGCTGGCCCACCCAGTGCCGGCCCTCATAGGTGCTTAATAACAGCACTTGCCCCAACAGTCTATTAAGGCTATACAGGGATCTTTGTCTTTGCGTATCCCTGTGCACATTCGGGGAGGTTTTTCCAACAGCTGCCAAAAATCTGGCCCTGTGTCGGTGTCAATTATTGTCACGTTCAAAATCCCGTGAAGGTGGCTTCATTCCATTCTGGAGGTACCGCAAAGTCCAGATACAACCCACCTTGGGGACTACAAGCAGTGACTTCCACCTCCTGGTAGCCCCACCCGCCTGTCTGGTTGGCATCTGCGATAAATCTTTTGGCAAATTAGCTCCGACGTCCTGGCACCATCTTCCAACTTTTAGGCATGCCCCTCTCTTTGCCCTGTTTCAGGTCGGTACTCAAAGCTTGCCTCCTTTCATAAGTAATATTGAAAGTGAGCACAGAGTTATGGCAAGAGCACGTATGGTTAGTGGTTGAAAAATTGAGAGAGATTTGACAGCGTATAAAAAAATATAGGTGCATTGTAGTGTGCGATGGGTTCTTTTTTTGGTGGAAAATGTTGTCAAACTTTATTCTTATTATTATACAGTGGAGCTTGTAATGATCAGTGCACATTTGCGAATTTGTACTCACTGCGTTATAGATGTACAGCCCTTTTGTCAGTCCCATTGCTGGATGAGGGGGTCTCCCTACGGCATATCGGTCATGGTGGTTACTCGAACATACTTGACCATGCTAGCCGGTGTGGGTCGGCGACGGGCAGGGAGCCAGTCATAGACGGAAGAGAATTAATAATACTCTTAATTATGATGAATGAGAAAGCAAAACAGAACCAATCAGAGCTTGGTAAACATTACATTAGAGCACAAATACTGCGGCACTCAATGGGACTGCTTGGGCCGCGTCGGAAATCCTGAACTGGACGACCTCCTCGTCTGGAACGGAGCCATTGCCGGCAGCTGCGCGTTTCCCTCGTTTCCCCGGCGGCGTGGCCACGTGTTCCCCAGCAGCACAGAGAGGCTGTGACATTTTCGACTTAATTACCGTCGCCGTTTTGCGTCGAGAAACGTTGCCTTTTCAGTCGACGCGTCGGCCGCGTTTTCACAAACGACCTCCGCAGGACGCGTTGCCAAAGACTTTCGTGCAAAGGGAGAAAGAATACATTGTGTGTGCGAGTATATATATAAAAAAAACGAGCAGCCAAGCTTGGAAGGGCTGTCATCTTTCATTTGCTGGACAACAGTGATTAGTGCACATGGCTGTCGGTGATAATGTTTTTTTTGTTGCATAGTTGACAACAGTATTCCAGAATTTGTGCGGTCAACCCCCCCCCCTACCCCACCCCACCGATACTGCCTTACGTACGAACAGTTCTTATAGACGACTTCACACTCACCTTTTCACGTACAAAATGTGTTTTTTTCTAGTGAGCATTACAAACAATAGAAAAGCATGCCCTCAAGATTATAATAATAATAGCAATGTCTTTATTCAAGAAAGCCACACCGTGTCACAACACTTGATCAAGAGGGCTTTGCAATGGACATTTGGCCAATTTTGTTCTGAGGATTTGGCTTGCAAGAAGACAAAACCGGAGCCCCGAAAGGGACGTGCACATATCAGGGTATACCACTCATAGCATCGCACAGATAGTTTCAAGAACACATTGCCGTAATGCCACCACCTGGCTACCTCGCAGCCCAAGACAACAGCACCTGGTATTACCAGGCATTCTCCCATCCCAAGTAATAGCCACCAGGCTGTAACATGCTTAGCTTCTGAAGCTTGACAAGACTGTGCACAATCAGGCTTGTTTTGTCATAGGCGAATGCAGCCTCATGATGATACATTCAAACTTTGATGTTTACCCTGATTGAAATCACAACAATCTTTGATGTGTTTATATTGGTGGGGTATTGCAGCACATGGCTATACATTGCGACATTACAATGCGCGAGCAATAACCAAAGCGCAATAGATTGCAAATGCAGCAGATCACACGGGCAGAGAGATGGAGAGTTCTAAAATAAACTGCTCCGTGGTTTTTTTTTCGGTTGTGCTTTTTCCTCACTTCCCGGTCGCGGTACATCAACGGAACTCCCGGGCAGATGGAGCCCTATGTCGTTGTTGTTTTTATGAGCCATGGGTCGCCGCAAGGCGAGATGCTGCCCTTGACCCCTAGATTTTCCGGGCGATCGTCTTGGCTGGAAACCGTGCCTTCGTGGCACAAAGCATTTTACTTTATTCAGCATCACCAAAGACATTTATTTTCTTTGAAACATTTTTTTTGCAAACTGACACCACGAAAGAAATGTCCAGTGGCATAGTGGCTTCTTAAATAATAGCAGCGGAGTTTGAATTAAAGAAGCCCTCTTTGTGGGCCATAACAGAGATTGGTTTACAACTGCAAATGTGTTTATGAAATACCGTGTTTCAAAATCTCACAGAATCTGTTGTTCTGCAAGAATCTACGACGATAAAATAGATGTGGTTAATATATAACTTATCTAAATGGCGCAGCAGTGCAGTGTTTAGCTCAGTGCACTTTGAACCCCGGCGACCAGAGTTCAGTTCTGCGCCATGCCAAAGTGAGTGGCGAACAACGATCCTGTGGCCTCCTCCTTCACCAACCCACACTGAACAACGTTGGTGTCGCAGTCACAACGATATTGTGGCCTCCTCCTTCACCAACCCACACTGAACAACGTTGGTGTCGCAGTCACAACGATATTGTGGCCTCCTTCACCAACCCACACTGAACAACGTTGGTGTCGCAGTCACAACGATACTGTGGCCTCCTCCTTCACCAACCCACACTGAACAACGTTGGTGTCGCAGTCACAACGATATTGTGGCCTCCTCCTTCACCAACCCACACTGAACAACGTTGGTGTCGCAGTCACAACGATACTGTGGCCTCCTCCTTCACCAACCCACACTGAACAACGTTGGTGTCGCAGTCACAACGATACTGTGGCCTCCTCCTTCACCAACCCACACTGAACAACGTTGGTGTCATAATAGGGTTTTTCCCCTTTTTTCTGGCAACAAAACTGAAACCTTTTTACAAGGATTCATGTCTGCATTAACCACAATACCTGCAGTCAAAATGCAAACAAAAAACATCTTATGATAATATATGCATTGTCCTTGAAACTGGTCCACACCAAGGGATGGCTTTCTTTTGAGCCTCGACCCAATTGGTGCTCGACTACATGACGCCAAAAGGCGTACAGCTCAAAGACAATGCACTATCAAAGTAATGAGGGGAAAAACCCTATTATTACATTTTGGTACTGGCAAAGGAGGTCTAATAACGTTGGTGTCGCAGTCATATTTTAAAACAACGTCCTTAACAACATAGTATCCAGCAGTGGATCGACACGGTTTTATGAATTCTAAATATCTGAATCACAAGGCTATGTTTTGTTTTTTCGTTTTATCTACCATATATTCAGCCCACAAGATGGGGGTGTGCGATGTGTGGTCACAATCAAAATCCGGTGGAAATCCTTACGATAATTTTTTGAACAGCACTCATCAGGGAAAACGGCACTTAAAAAAAAATCGAAATGACGACACTGACATCAGTTCAGTTTTAGCGTTCACATTGACTCCAGATAAATCTTCATCTATAGTACACTACTTATTGCAGTATATGCACACACCATGTATGTTTGATTCGATTGAAATATCACTCCTTTAATGTGTTTCCTCTATTAGGTTGTTTAGTAGGTTATTGTTTATGGTAATAATATTCCATCATCCTTTTGTGATCATAAATTATCTGTGTTGTTGGTTGCTGGAGAATTTCTCCAGGATAAATAAATATTCTGATTCTGTAAGGATGCATCCATTCATTCATTAATCTTTATTCTTACACTAAAGTTACAAGTATCGAATCCCATGCTTATGAATAAATGTTTGTCGGTTTGTAGGTGTTTTACCGAATGGGTTCACATCACCCCTGTGTAGCCACTTGGAGGTTGCCTAACATTCTCCCCCGTGTTTCAAATAAATATTCTCGGTTCAAATCCCAACCCTGAAGTGTGACGATTCATCAAATTCCCAGAGGGGAGAAGGAAGAGGGTGCCCTGGTGGAGAGATGTTAATTACCTCACCTGGTATACAGGAGGTCGTGGGTTCGATCCCAACCCTGATGCCTGCTGCTGTATATTTGGAGTCTGCGTGTTCTCTTTCCCCGTGCTGGCGTGGATTTTTTTTACAGGTCCTCCTGTTTTCCCGTCCACATTTGGAATCAATGTGCGTTTAGAGTATTTGACGTCCTTAAATTTCCACGTGATAAGCCACTTCATTGGGCTACACTTTGTGGCCAGGTCGCTTCTGAAAAAAAGCTATATAGCTCAGTGGGCCTTACCTGGTAAAATTATATATGTGTTGAGTTTAAATAGGGGGTGGGGATGAGGCTTAATAATTCCTGCCCGAAATGGTTACCTGTTCATACAAACGGCATTTCCTACAGAAGCAGTTTTCTGCTACTATTACAGCCACAGCATCCATCCTAAACATTCGAGTTACAACGAGAATGTTGTAAAAATGCCCACTCCGTTTGAGGGAAACGTGGTCAATTACCTACCTGCACAGGATGTATTTTGTTTTCATTCTGTTCTGTGCATTCATGATCCTTGCTGGCTTCTGGTGCTCTGCGACATGTTACAGTAAATGGCATCAATGGTTTGTTAGGCCGGGAGTGTGCGCGTGTTTTACTGTTAGTCCCGGGGATATGGAATTGCGGGTAACATTTTTTTAAGTTGTGCGTTCTACTGATTAATGGTATAAATTACAAATTATATTTTAGCCTTTTGTTATTTCACTTTTGGACAAAGGCCATATTTCATGAAGCTGTTTGGTGGGTTGGGGGGGGGTGAAGGTGTACCCTGGACCAGTTCAAATACCGCTTGCCACTGACATTAGCTATGCCAAGGAACAGACCTCATTTTGCCTGGTGCAGAGAGAGCACAGCCTGATAACCACTGTCCCACCGATGCACCAATCATGATTAAAATGTGAACCCTAACATGGCACATAGGCGATCGGAGCAGGCTGTGAGAGAAGGCATTAACCACATTTATTGGCGCATTCCTTTACCACGTGATGATGATGATGATTAAGTAAATAGAATTGGGGTTTTTGTTTTTTTAGCTGAGTGCGCCTGCTCCACGCCGCCGACATTGCCCGCGTTTGTTCGGAGCACGAAGTAGGCCTGAGAAAGCGCCCGCCCCCACCCAATTTCGACTGGAATTGGCGTTCAGCTAATCAAAAGAAATTACCCACGTGACTCCGGCAGTGGAAGTTGATTTCCTGAAATCACATAAATTTGTTAGCCCGACGCCGTACGCAGTTACTGCTACGGCAGAGTCCTGGCTGGTCCAGCAGAGCCCTGGGCAGACCGCCGAGCAGGGCAGGAATTTAAAATTGGCTTGATAACGAGCCGCATCTGAGAAGAGTGCTCTGCCTCTCTGTGCCCCCCCCCCCGCCCCACCGTGGCTCAGAAAACCCAACGGCAGCAATAGTCAGAAAACACTCGAGCGGAATTTTGTTCTGAGCGTCTGCGTGTGGCGCGTGATCATGGCGCAGTTCAGCGAGCGGCGCTTGAACGTTTGCGTGCGCGCGCGGGCAGAGCGTGCATTCAAACCATTCATTCGATCCTCTTGGTGCTCGGATTTGTTTTCAGGTTGTGCCATGTTGCTGTTGTTTGGTGGGATTGTCCAACGTTTTATTGCACGTGCTTACCGGAAGAAACTCCTAGCATGTGGAGCTCTACCTCGCGAGGTTTGCGTGAGGTCATGGGTTCGATCCCAACCCTGACGCCTGCTATGTATTTGGAGTTTGCGTGGTCTTTCCCCGTGGTCACGCGGGTTTTTCTCCAGGTCCTCCAGTTTCCCCTCCACATTGAGAATTAACGTGCATTCATAGTATTTGGCTGCTATAAATGTCTCCATGATAAGGCACTTAGTTGAGCTATCCTTTGTGGCCTGTTGGCTTCTGAAAAAGAGCTATATAGCTCAGTGGGCCTTACCTAGTAAAATAAAAAAATAGTTTAATTGAAATAGTTTATAATGCATGCTCAGATTGACAAAGATGTCTTTATCCACATGTGCGCGTGCATGCGTTCAGGGTAGTGGGGAGCGGTGGCGCAGTGGTTAGTGCGCCGCACTACGAACCCAGCGACCAAAGTTCAATTTCACGCTCACGGCCAACACCAGTGACGATTCTCTGAACTGGTCGACTCAACCTTAAAATGAGTACCTGGTGCAGTGTGTAAACAACGCCACTGGGGAGACAAAGGCGGCCGGAGTGGTGCTGGTCACCCACCCCCTTCGTGTGCCGTGATGGCCTTCACAGGCGTTGCTCGCTGACAGCACTTACCCCAACAGTCTGTTAATGCTATACGGGGGGGGGGGTTCTTTATCTTTGTCTTTTTGTTCAGGGTGACGGTGAGTCGTCGCACCTTCGGACACAGTGGGATTGCCATCCACACGTGGTATGCCAGCGTCGCACTAATCAAGACCATCTGGGCGATGGCAATCAGCCAACACCAGTTCTACCTGGACAGGAAGCAGAGCAAGGTAGAGCTTCCCCACTTCACAATGGGCCCCTCTGTGCGTCTGTGTGATTCGCAGTGTCCGCGGCATCCACCATCCAAACGCATAGCCTGAGCAGTCGTAATAATTATTATAGTATTCTTTGGGTCTTTCGGTAAAGTCACGTAGATAGAAAAAATGATAACAATTAAAAAATTAAGTGAATAAAAAAGAATAAAAATATCACGACGTTTCGATCGCAACACAAGCAATCCTGATGACGATTGCGATCGAAACGTGATATTTTTAGTATTTTTTATTCATTTTATTTTCATTTTTTATTATTTCATTGTTATTTTTTTCTATCTATGTGACTTAACCGAAAGACCCAAAGAATATGAGTTCCTGCAGTCACGAAAGCTTTAAGTCAATAATTATAATAATAGCCGAGTACATATTGCCATTCTTATTGTGCAAGGCTGTTGTCATTAAGGTTGTGTGCTTCACAGACAAGTATCATCCGCCAGTAATGAGCGATGCTGCTGTATGGCCTTATCCAATTAAGTCCAGTGATAAAACATTTTTTGGCAAATTTGATTAAAACCATCTCCCCGGCACACATTGTCTGCTCCTTATTTTAATCACGTCTTTACCATTGATTGTGCGGCAGACATTGTGCAATTTTCACTAATACAACCGCAGTATTGACTGGGGCGGTTGCTAGGCTTGAACCGCCAAACCCCCTGCAACACGCAGCAAATGCTCTGACCGCCGATTGCCACGCAGAAAACTCCCTCTGGCTTCATTCGTTCGTTCGCCCATTCATCCGTCCGTTGTACGTGGCTTCCGCACCGCGTGCGTTCTCTTTCCAGGCAAAGATTCCAGCGGCACGGAGCCTCAGCGAGATAGCGGTGGATCTCTCCGAGTCGGGCACGCTCAAGAGAAGCAAGCTCAACAGCATGGGCAGCAGGGGGCAGGTCATCAGCACCAGCAGGGGCAGTCTCCTGTCGTCCGGTAAGCCATCCACGGGCAGACCCACCTTGCCGGGGGGGGGGGGGGGGGTTCCCTTAGTGAACAGCAGGCACGGAACGGTTCACACTCGGCCAACAATTTGATGAATTGGCACGATTGGTGGAATTTGACACTTTAAACACAGTAGTGATATTATGTAATGTACAGCGACAGTACAGTGGTTGGCATCGGGTGCTATGAACCAAGCGGGCGAGTTTCATTCCCTAACCGATGGATAGCCAAATATTAACGAGAGGACTTTTTGGGTGATCAGTATTCACGCAAGAGCCTTAAACTTCACGCAACCCCCTGCACTCGAATGGCCCATTCCGCGGTAAATATCCCACGCGTGTCAATAATGGGTGGTGTGCACACTTGGCGGTCGTGCCAGTGACTCAAATTTAATTCCGGTTTCCAGAGCCGGTTACTCAGTCCTGCCCTGCGGTTGCGCCGGGTTTGGGAAGAGCTTGGGGTGCGATATGCAACGACGGTGCGCAGCCGCCACGAGACCCGCCAGCTGATGTTGGTGCCCCTAGGTGGCTGCTCGGAGCCTAAGGGATATATAATCACAACCTCGTGTGACTCACCCACCCCTCGCCCAAGTGAATCGATGTGTTGTAATCATCGAAGGTCGAAAAATATTGATTCATTTTTCCTCTGGTTTTTACGAGATTGTTTTTTTTTTTACTACGACATTGTTCGTGCGGTGCTTTTTTCCGTTTTGTTCTGACTCATGCTGGACAGTTTTGTCGTGTTCAGGTTATCCCGAGTGCAACGTTACGCATCTGACCTGCGCACGTGTTGCGTGAGGGACATGTGACGAATTAAAGAATGCGTCATTGCACGCCTACCGAGAGGGGATTAAGATTGCACCGAGGCAGCCATCAGTTCCGTGTGCACTTACCAAGCGCCGGATGTGCTCCCACAAGGAATAGCAATTTCTAGAGCATCTAAAGGCAATTGCAAGTCAGGATTCCTTACAGAAATGGAGAACTACATTAGGGTAGACCGAGGGGGGTGTTGGATTGGGGGAAGGGGGAGTCATGGCAGGGATATATATACGCTGGGGGTGTGTGAGGCGAGACCAATGCTGCGGCTCAAACTGCTTCTTGTGCTCAGTTTGTTGTCCTTCTCCCGCACCTCCGATTAGCACCATTGGCTACAATGGTGAGATAGACGTTCTACATGCGTACAAAGCAACCGACGACCAGTCTCAGGGACAACCGGGGTAGCCCAGGGCAGCTCCAATGAGTCCTGGGGCATCCTCACGGAGTGGGTGGGGGGGGGGGCATAAAGACATACAACCGTTAATATTCCACATGCTAAGTGGTGGTAATGGTCGCATTGTTAAAGGTAACATCAAGCCACGATTTTGAGTGTTATCGTTGCCGCTACTGACAATGCCACTCTCGGTAATGTTACAGCACCATCATCATCATCGTTATTGCTTGTGGGGATATCTAAGCAGCTAATGAACAAACTCATTCCCGGGCTTCCAACTCGGCCAACCCCGGTCGCGCCTGACTCTCTCGGCCAACACTGCTGCCCCCCCTGCTCCCCCCCCCTGCTCCCCCCCCTGCTCCCCCCCCCTGCTCCCCCCCCGCTCCACCGCGCAGGTTCGGTCGACTCGGAGGTGAGCCAGTCGGCCAAGAAGGAGATGATGTCGGCGCTCAAGAGCCGGCAGGAGGTGCTGGAGGATTCATTGCGGCTGCGCCTGGACGATCTTCGCTCCATCTGCCTGCGCGAGGCCGTGAGTGCCGCCCCCCCCCCCCCCCCCCCAACGGCTGCGTTCTCGCTCAAGCGTCGTTCTCTCGTCCCCCACTCGCGCCCGCCCGAGTCTCGAGTCCACGAAAAGAGAGCCCCGATAATGTCTTTCAGCGGTAGTCGTCCATTATGGAATGTTTGGACATTCTTTTGTTTTTAAAGCTTAGTTTGAGAGGAAGCTAAAGTACCCGGAGAAGAACTGTTTAGTTGAAGGAGATAATAAAGCCTTAAAAAAACGTCCCCGCAGATGGGTTCCCAATCCCATTTGCTGTCTCCTGGCTACCTTGCAGCGCCAGGAGGTTTGGGGGTTTCACGAATCTCTCTGTGACCCGACAACTCCTATCTCTCTCCAGAGCCACGGGATCTCAGGCGAGCGCTACCACGGCCCCCTTCTGCAACGCTTCACACTCTTAGGCGTTGCCCCTTCTAACACATTTCCCACTCTGACACACCACCCTCATCAAAACACATTCCACTCCCTCCAGCCTGCAGCCACGCTCACGATTCTTGCTTTGACACGCTTCCCCCTTCTTCAACAACACCCTGTGCTTTGGCATGCCCCTTCCTCCAATACAGCCCTTCGGCTAGGCTGTGCCGCATGCAATGTAAATTGTATCCATCGGCATCACCGTCATTATCGGTCGCGCCTCCGATTAACACGGGTTCGCTACGTACGGCGCGAAAGAAGTTCAACGTGCGTACATAACCTATCCACTGCAAGACGAATGCCACCCTGCCGACGGGACCAGCCCTCACGATTGCGTGATGCCACAGTCCATCTCGCTTTGGCATATGAACGAGTCTTATCGACCCATCTCGACGGTGGGCACGAGTTCTCACCTTTGGCTGCCATTTCTAGCGATCAGCCAGCCTCATCCGTAAGGCCGCTACGTGGAGCACTTGTGTCCTGCCCAAGCGCACGTTACGTTTCTGAAGTAAATCCCGCGTCTCTAATTTGGATTTGATGACCAAATGCACTTCCATCTCTGGGCACGATAAATGAGCAAACGGCCCCACCGGTATCAAACCACGGCAAGTTCTTCACTCGTTAATAAACGTGTTGCTTACGCACGTACGCACGTTGAACTTTTTTCGCACCATACGTAGCCAACCGTGCCAATCGGAGTAGCGTGGCTATCGTAGAGTGTGCGCGGCGGTGCAACTGCACCAGGGCCAACAGGCTGGACGGAGGGACCCAAGTTCTGGGCTATGAAGAGGGGTGAGGGCTGGGAACAGAACGAAGGTGGGGAGGATTTAGGAGACTTTCCCGCGCTGCCCGCACGGCGGCTGAGCGAGCGTCGCCGTCTCTGTGCCCAGGAGCTGACGGGGAGGCTGCCGAGCGACTTTCCGCTGGCGGCCGGCGAGAAGCCGCCCGCTGTTCGTCGCCGGGTGGGCACGTCGTTCAAGCTCGACGAGAAGAAGATGGTGCCCCGCGGGGAGGTGCGTTGCTGCTTCGCTCGCACCGTGACGCCTCGGACCGGGAGATGAGCCGATGAGTGGGGAGGGGAGGGGGGTTGTGGGCGAAGGGGGGAAGTTGTTGATCGCCACCTGAGCCAGTCGAGGAAATTCCACTTTGCTATGGCGAGTCTATCTCCCACCCAAGTTTGGCAATTGTTGAGCCTCATATCGTGCTCAGGATGGGCAATCACCTTGCATGCCGGGTTGTTGTAGGCTGCTTTGGGACTATGTTGCGGGCAGAAAAACAGCATTGCAGTGCAAATACATTGTTGTACTGTGCGTCAATGCTCCCCCTGCCCTGAGTTAACCTTGCACTGACCAGTGTGGTGAAGTCTGGTTCAAATAACCCCCCTCCGAGTAAGGATGCCCAGATCCAGCAGTTGACTGACCGAGGGATGTACGTGCACATGTGCGTGTACGAGGATTTTGGGTTTGTTTATAAGGCCAAGTGATGGAAAATTCATTCCGCAGCAGTGTAATTGCACCCTTGTTCGCACGCAAGACCGTCACGCAAATTGTACGAGCCGTGCGTGTAATGTTTCTCAACAACAACAAACAGCCGTAAAGGGGCTCATATTAAACTTAAAAGTACGCATTTATAATCGAGCCGCACCCATTGATAGTGATTAATTCAGGCAAACCTGGGTTGTACATTAGTGTGGTCATGGTTCAAAGAGCTCCCACGATTCGCGCAATATGGGTAGGCTCCCATCTGAGAATTTGACAAATTTTATCACTTACCCGCAAAATACTCAATTGCGATCGTACATGGCGACCATTGCCGTGGAATCCTTGGCTAGATCCTCCTGAAAACAATTCTTCAATCTTTCCTTGCTAAACAATATAAGACTAATGATAATAAACAGTAACAAGGCAATGGCTTGACTAAAAAAAGTGCGCACAAGGTTGTTTGCTTTTGGGTTCATGAAGAAACGGGACTTGGGAGTATGAAAAACAAGAATAGTGTTTTTCCCTTTCTGACAATAAAACAGGAGGTGTTAAGATTTTCAAACACCAAATAGAAACCTCTTGCAAGGAATCCAGTCCGCATTAACCACACACGCTACTTGTGGCAAAACATTGAAACACTGATAATGTATGCGTTGTCTTTGAAATTGATTGGCCTACACCAGAGACGGCCTTTTTATGGCCTTGTCTCACCGGTGTCAGAGAACGCCGAAAAACGAACCGTACAATCACAATGCAACTACCAGAGCCCTTATAGCTCGAGGTTGAGCAGTTACATCTACGGGACCTTTTAGTCAACATCAAAGTGTGAAGGGAGCTACAAGGGGGACCCCGTGACACTGAACGCGTGACTCTCCCAGGAGGAGGAGCTGGACAGCCTGGAGAGGGACTTCGCCATCCAGACGCAGATCACCGAGGCCGCCAAGAAGCTCGTGTCGGACCCACACATCGGCAAGACGATGCGGCGGCAGCGCAAGACGTCGCTGCAGAATGCCACGCGCAAGCTGCAGCAGATCGAGGGCGCCATCAACGAGTACCGGCTGCGAGCGGGCAAGGAGCCCACGCAACGCGCGTCGCTCTTCATCGAAGGTGCGGCCCCAGCGGTCGCCTGGGCTGGTCGAGCATGCCGGGGCGAGGGGCTGCACGCATGCGCGCGTCACTTTCCATGCATCACTCCATAAACAAAAAAAAGAGAGTCGGTGATTTCTATCGATGGCCCTGAGCCATTGCAGGAAATTCCACTCGACTTTGGCGGTGCCGAGTCTATCCATAGGGCAACCGCTGTTGACTTTCCCCGCAAAGGGCGAACGAATGTTACAGAGCCCAACGGGATGACGAGTCAATCCTCAACCAGGATTTGAACACCCCCTCCCTACCAACCTTCCGGTTGCGAGCCGCTCGCGTGACCGCTGAGCCACCTACACTCAGTCTAGTGGAGTTGTCCCATGCAGGCTGTGGTCTCCATTGGCACGTGGCATTTTCACCACGAGGCCACGTGTTCGGATGAGCCGAACACAATTTTCACTTGAACGTGTGGAAAAATGGTATCGTACGTTCTGTAAGCATTGCATACGATGAGTCACTGATGCACCTGTTTGTTTATTTTTTTTATTGTCATATGCATGAAGATAAGAAAGATCAGTCATTCTTCTCCGAAGGAAAAGAGCAGTCCGAAGACAGCTCGCTTTCCGATGCCGCCATCCTTGAAGATTCCGGTCAGTGTTAACGTTGACGCATTGCGATGAGGGACATCGTAAACAAACAAAAACAACTCTCAAGATTATGAACAAATCAATTCATGTCTTGCATACATGGCCACCACGGTGGGGAGATGTTCACTACCACGCCTGGTGTACAGGAGGTCGTGGGTTCGATCCCGACCCTGACGCCTGTATATTTGGAGTTTGTAAGTTCTCCCCATAGTCGTGTGGATTTTTCTCAGGGTCCTCCAGTTTTTCCCTCCACGTTTAGAATTCCGCATTCAGATTATTTAGCTGCTGTAAACTTCCGCACGATAAGCCACTTTGTTGAGCTATCATTTGTCGCCAGGTCGCTAATGACCATAGTTTTATATATATTTATCATAGTTTTAATCTTGATTTGAAGCTTTCGTGACTGCAGGAATCCATACTCTTTGGTTCTTTCGGTAAAATCACGTGGTAGGTAGAAAAATGAAATAAAACAAATAATATATATCACGACGTTTTGATCGCAACACAAGCGGTCGTCCTCAGGTGGAAAAAATATAATCAGCAGTAGAACTGCTGAACCAGCGAGATATATGAATATAAGTATTACACAGGACAAGTGACATTCCACTTATCTGCCCGACGACCATCACTCGATCACCTACACCACCCAACCAATTTGTGGATCTTCTTATTATTCGTGTAACTGTTCGTTCTATTGCCAGTACGAACCCGTGAATAAGAGGAGTAACCTAGAATTTAAATTGGAAACCCTTCGTATTATTTCCACTATTCCATGCATATTCTTGCGTGAAAATTAACATGCACGGATAGGAATGGACGGTAAGATCCAGCAATAGACATGAGGTTCCACCAGCGCAGATATCAGGAGTTTCACTCTATATTTGCATATTAATACTTGGAAATTAAATAACCTTGAATTGAACTGTGACCTCATTAATTGTATTACTAGTATAAATAAGCCTTCCCAAGCCACTCCACTTATCACTATCCTGTACGATGTATGTTGAACTTCTTTCGCACCGTACACATACCTGTCTACCGCTTATCAGTGCCTACCTTATTACGGACCAATTCAGACCTTATTGGTCACCCCGTGCCTTTGTAAATCTCAACGTTCATCCTACAAAGTCCCATCACAAGGGAGAAACACAAACAAATAGACATTTATTCTTACCCGTCTTGAAACGACTGTACGCCGTATGGACCTGAAAACGTAATTTGCCTGTACAAGAATACGGGTGGGTGAACCGTATGGGTTGACAGGTATGCATACATAGCCACCGTGCTAATCGGTGGTGCATAGCCAACCATGCCTATCCTACGTTGCGATGATTTACCGAGCACCTGCACGCAAATTATTTCACCATCGCTGCGTCTCTTCAGTGGGCATCCCCTTGAATGTGTTTAACTCCAAGAACAATAATGGAATGGCAGCCAACGAGGGAATGGCGTTTCATGCTCGGTTACATATTCATCCATCTAATTATCTATATATACCTGTTTGTTTATTAAATTTATACAGACTGTGTCCCGGACACCAGCCTGCCCTCTCCGCCCCCATCGCCGCAAGCGTACGAAGCTCCGACCCCGACGCCTTTCGCCCACCCTCTTCCTCACCCGCACCCTCACCCTCTTCCTCACCAGCACCCTCACCAGCACCCGCACCAGCACCCGCAACCGCACCAGCTCCCGCACCAGCACTCTCACCAGCACGTGCACCCTCACGCCGGCGTGGCGTACGCCCGCCCGCCGCCCCCGCACTCGCTGGACGGGCTGGCGCTGCGGCGCATCCAGTCGTTCCGCACGGACGCTCCGGACTACGACAAGTCGCCCATCAAGCCTCGCGCCTGGAAGGAGTCATCCCTGGATGAGCCCTACCAGAAGCCCAAGAAGCAGAGCAAGGACGGCAACCAGACGAGGTGAGGCTCGCGGCGACGGGGGAAAGTCCGAGGGCCCCTGGGCTCTTGAGACTCGCCGAGCCGCTGAGACCCCTGGTAGAGCTCGCTCCTCTGAGACTCTCCGTAGAGCTCGCTGCTCTGAGACTCCGTAGAGCTCGCTCCTCTGAGACTCTCCGTAGAGCTCGCTCCTCTGAGACTCTCCGTAGAGCTCGCTCCTCTGAGACTCCGTAGAGCTCGCTCCTCTGAGACCCCTGGTAGAGCTCGCTCCTCTGAGACTCTCCGTAGAGCTCGCTCCTCTGAGACTCTCCGTAGAGCTCGCTCCTCTGAGGCTCTCCGTAGAGCTCGCTCCTCTGAGACTCTCCGTAGAGCTCGCTCCTCTGAGACCCCTGGTAGAGCTCGCTCCTCTGAGACTCTCCGTAGAGCTCGCTCCTCTGAGGCTCTCCGTAGAGCTCGCTCCTCTGAGACTCTCCGTAGAGCTCGCTCCTCTGAGACCCCTGGTAGAGCTCGCTCCTCAGAGACTCTCCGTAGAGCTCGCTCCTCTGAGACTCTCCGTAGAGCTCGCTCCTCTGAGACCCCTGGTAGAGCTCGCTCCTCTGAGACTCTCCGTAGAGCTCGCTCCTGTGAAACTCTCCATAGAGCTCGCTCCTCTGAGACTCCTGGTAGAGCTCGCTCCTCTGAGACTCTCCGTAGAGCTCGCTCCTCTGGGTGTACCGTGGGAAATTAGAGTAACGTACGGTGAACGAATCTGGGGCTCTCTGCTCCGGTCCTTCCATGCTTGTTTAACCGTGAAGATAATGACGTGCCTGATAATAACGGTAGAATAACTAACACATTCCCCTATGAAACAACAAGACAGAGAGGCTTTCATCCAGCAATAAATCGATAAAGGGCTGTGCAATAACGTGTTCGTGGAGTTGCAGAGCGGTCCGCGCGTACTGCACTATGAACCTAGCAATCTCGGTTTTATTCGCAGCCATGGCTAACGTCAGTGGCCAAGTGATATTTTCGCCGGCCCTGGCTACCGATAAAATAAGCTTATTAATTATCACGCCAGGGTCTGTAGGATGACTAGCACTTCGTCAGAATCAACAGCAGTTGCCCTGCGGAGACCCTGCCATCGGAATGTGAAATTTCCACCAGCGGCCCGGGGAACCACCACACCCGGTTTGCTTTCGGACAGCGGGCCGGCGTTGGCGTCGGCAGCGACGGTGTGTGGTAAGCTCGCTGACTCCGGGGGCGCGCCGTTGCCGCTGTGCCCCCCGCCCCGTTGCTTCAGTGCCACGGCCAGCAGCTGCAGCTCGCCGGTGTGCGGCGGCAGCGCCCCGCCGGGGTCCCTGCAGGCGAGCCCCGTGCACGGCCCCGGCGCCGGCGCCGGCGTCGGCGGCGCCGGGCCGCCCGACTCCCTGCAGGGCAGCCCCGTCCACGCGCCCGCCTACTTCTGCAGCGTCCCCTCCACGCCCGACTTGCGCAGCCGCGGCATCCTCCGGCACAAGCAGCAGCAGCAGCAGCAGCAGTCCAGGTGCGCGCAATGGGGCGACGCTTTTTGTGGCGTATGGTTGAGTTTACGTTGGGGAAGTGTTTTTTCGTTTCCCCCCCCCCCGCCCCCCGTTTGATTATTCGGTGGGGCGGTTAGTGCGGCAGTTTAGCGTCGCCGCGTGCTCCGGACGCGGCGACGTGAGTTCAGTTCCCGCTCGGGGCCAGCTGTCGCTGACGGATGTCTCAAACTGTCTCGGGCCTCACCGATGTCAACTCGGCTTCAGACGAGGACCCGGATCGCTGTGTAAACATCGGCACGGAGGAGACAAATGTGGCCGTGTGTGGTGCTGTCCACACCATCCCCTCTCGTGTGCCTAGCCGACCTTGATAGGTTCCTGCTAACAGCATTTTCCCTAACAGTTTGTTAAAGGCTATACAAGGTGTCTTTGTATATGTTGTGAGGCGGTTTCTGTTTTATTCCTAACTATTTACTATTAAGGCCCACTGAGCTATATAGTTATTTTTCAGAAGCAACCTGGCCACAAAGAATAGCTCAACGAAGTGGCGTATCATGGTGTGGACATGTATAGCAGCCAAATGCTATCAACGCATGTTTATAAATGCGGAAGGAAAAACCAGAGGACCCGGAGAAAAGGTCATTAACATCTCGCCACCCCCCCCGGTCTCTCTCCGTTGCCTCCGTGTCTCCAACCTCCAGCTCGGTGGACGTGAGCCCGGCGCACAGCTGCCCCCCGCCGGAGGCGTTCCGCAATCGCAGCGGCAGCCTCGAGTGCGGCCCCTCGCTGCTGCCCTCCGCCGAGGACCCATACGGCACCGCCACGTCGCACAGCAGCGCCAGCTCCGACGTGCCGGACGACCGGCTGTCGTGCGCCAGCCAGTGCAGCTCGGAGCGCGAGCCCTGCTGCGGGAGCGGCTACGGCTGCGGCTACGGCTACGGCACGCTGGGCGAGGAGTCTCTGCACCAGGCGCGCCAACGCCACCGCTCCGCCGGCAGCCTCGGCTCGGCGAGCTCGGGCAGCCTGCCCAACTTGGCGCCCAACGCGGGCCCGTCGGGCACCGCCCGGTCCGGTGTGTCGTACCACAACCACCACAACAACATCCACAACCACCACCACTCGCATCAGCACCAGTCGCAGCAGCAGCAGCACCAGCAGCACCAGCAGCATCACCGCTCGGTTCCGAACTCGGCCTCGCAGTACCGCATCAAGGAGTACCCGCTGTACACGGACGGGGCGGCGTGGCCCACGACGGTGGTACGCAGCTTGGAGAGCGACCGCGAGGGACACTACAGCGTCAAGGCGCAGCTGCGCGTCTCCAACTCGTACACGGCGGGCGGGCTGTACCGCGACAGCGCCCACTACCGTGGCGGCGGCGGCGGCGGCGGCGGCAGTAACGGCGGGGGTGGCGTGGGCGAAGGCGCCGGATATTACGGAGGCAGAGACGCGGGCGGGACGCACGGCGGGGTGCCGCACTCGCGCTCGCAGCTGGTGCGGACGCCCGTCAGTTCGCCCGGGCAGCACGCGAACAGCCAGTGGGGCTCTCAGGCCTTGATAGAGGAGGAACCGCATCATTTAAATCATCTACAGCAGCAGACGACGACAGCGAGGGGTTCCGGGACGCTACCGGCGCAGGGTTCGTCTCCTTCATCGTCCCCACTCCACCACCACTACCACACGCAGCAGCAGCAGCAGCCACAGCAGCAGCCACAGACGGCCGATTCGATAGACCACCTCCGTTCGTGGTACGAGCGCAACGCTCACCGCGACCCGCGGAGGCTGTCGCACGCCAGCTCCGGCTCGGACAGGAGCTCGCAGTCTGACCGCAGCTCACGGCCCTACACGCCGTCGCCCGCCAACGTGCGCCTGGTGAAGGGGCAGCCCCAGCCGGGACAGTGCCACGCCTCGGGTAAGCTGAAGCTTGAGAAGGGGGTCGTCCGTGACGTAGTGTCTCTTCGTTCGGCCTCTCTCGGGTCTTTCCGATCGCATCGGAAAATTTGCTCCTGCAGCCTCGCTGCTTTGGTGCTGCCTCCAGGTTCTGTTTTGTTATTTGCTTCTTCCCTTATTTTTGCTCTGCACCTTTATTACTCAAATATTTAATGTTATTTGCCCAGCTGATACGCAGTTCTACCTCATCTAAACTAAAACTATTTTTATTTCACCAGGTTAAGGCCAACTGAGCTGTATAGCTCTTTTTTAGAAGCAACCTGGCCACAAATGATGGCTCAACGAAGTGGCTTATCACACGGAAGTTTATCACAGCCAAATACTCGAAACGCACGTTTCTAAATGTGTACGTAAAAACCGGAGGTCCCAGAGAAAAATCCATGCTACCGCAGGGAGAGAAAGACATGCATACTCCAAATGTATAGACGTCAGGGTCAGGATCGAACCCACGACCTTCTCCATACCAGGCGAGGAAGTTAACGTCTCTTCAGCATTGTGCCCATTCTCTTGGACCTTCTACTCATGCATCACTGTGCACGGTAGTAGCCTGCATCACTCGTACTTTACGGCCAGAACTTTCTCGCTTGTAACGTGATGTTTGTACCGTATCTTTAAAATCCTTCTGAAAGCTTTCATCTGCAATGCTATGGGTCCTCCTTTTGTCATTGTGAATTAATTTCAATTCATTACGAAGGGTTTAATGATTCGATTCAAGAATCCAATTTTGTTTTACATTGCGATGAATGTATCAGTCTCTAGAGTCTTCAGGGGTAATGTGAACTCAATATTACATCTACATGTTTGAATACAAAATAAATGTTTCACATACGCGATATGACGCAGGTATCGCAAGCTTCAAAATAGATATTAATCAATGTCGTTATATGCATCCATTACCATGCCCATTGTCTTGATTTCACTCATTGTTAACAGGGCCATCTTTAATATCGTCATCTACTCCAGGCTGATGATCAGTCGTTTGTCCAGAAATTACCGTTCTGATTTATAAAGAGCCTCAATACAATCACATTTCACGATGCTGTTTAATATTGGGAGGGAAATTGGGTTCGTGGTGGAGAGAGGTCTGTGCAGATGGAGAATAAACAATAGCCTTGAAAGAAAGCATTTATTCCTTTGGTCAATTTACAGTGCCACATAAAACCCAGAGAGAAATATGCACCTGGAGAAATATTATAGGAAGAGTGGGAGAGGACAGATACTACCATGTGATTTATATCGGGTCCAATACATGGAGCCAAGGAGGAGCTAAACGAGCGAGGTGGCTGAGCAGCTCAAGGGTCAGAGCATTTAATTGGCACAATTGAGATCCTGGATTCGGGTCTGGGCAGCTTCCCACGATTAAACTAGATTCTCACGTGTAGTGAGTTGATGGTCTCAACCGAGTCACCATTAAAAAAAAGCCACCAATTTGAGTTCGTGTTTTTGTTTTATTCATAAGGATAGATGCTTTCCGCCTTGAGAAAAGTACATTTATGTACATCGACTGTTATACGACGAACGTTACCGTGGGAACGTGTGCCCCCTAGTGTGTGGCTAGAGAAGGCCACTCGAAGGGATCTAGAGGCATTTCTGTGGCAACTACTTCTGCAAGTCTCCGCTCTCTTAGACCGAGTCATGCAGGGCACCCTGTGACAGACCACCAGGCTGCACAACTGAAACAAAGTCAGGAGACAAGACTCAATTAAAAGAGCCGACGGGTGGGTCAGTTGGCATCTCTGGTTGTTACCTCGTACAAATCAGGTCGAGTACAACCTCTGGAGACATCCATGACCAGCGCCTTCCACCTTCTATCACTCACTGCCTCTAGGAGTCAAACCTTTCATCATCCAGCCACCTTATCTAAACTAAACTTGTAAAATATGTGGGTTTTTTTTTTACCAGGTAAGGCCCACTTGAGCTATATAGCTCTTTTTCAGAAGCGACCTGGTCACAAATGATAACTCATCGAAGTGGCTTATCACGTGGAAATCTATCGCAGCTAAATAACGTAAATGTAGGTTGAGTCTAAATGTGGAAGGAAAAACCGGATGTCTCGGAGAAAAATCCACGCGACCATGGGGAGAACAGGCGTCAGGGTTGGGATCGAACCCACTACCTCCTGTATACTCGGCGAGGTAGTTAACATCTCGCCACCGTGGGCTTCATCCGCTGTGTGCCCCCTTCTTCGAATGCCCTTGATCTAATGCCTGTGCGACGTGGTGCCTTGCTCTTTCTATTTTCTCGGCCGCAGTGTCCCCTACGAGCAGCACGAGCAGCAAAAGGCATTTCGCGCTTCCCACGCCGCAGTCGTGCGATCCCATCGCGCACGCCGTTCTCTCGGGCCAGCCGCACGGCCCGACGCCGCCGCCGCCGCAGCAGCAGCCACAAGCGGCGCCGTACGGCCAATCGCACGGCGGCCCGATGCCGGCGGCTCAGCACACGGTGGTGCAGTGGCCGGCGGCAGCGAGCGAAGGCAGCGGGCAGCGGGAGCAGCAGCTGCTGCTGCACTGCGACACGGCCCACGCGCATCGCTACCACACGCCGCCGCCGCCGCCACTACAGCAGCAGCACACGAGCAGGCGAGTTGTGCGTGCCGCAGTGTTTTTCAAAATGAGTAGTCTGTTCTCCCGTGTAGCGTGTGCTGTTTTCATGACGCGAATTGGATATACAACGCGGTGAATGTTTTAGGGGAACGCATTTTTCATAATGCGGATATGGATTGGAAATGTAACGCGATGGAGTGAAAATAACTAAGTCACGTGAGTCGGAATAACCGGTTGTTACGGCTGCCTCGGTGGAGCATCGCATAAGGCGGGATGCTACTGGATGCTTCTAGATGCTACCCACCACGTGCCTCGGTCTTTGTTCAGCCAGCGTACGCATCTCACGTGTTATCATGGACTGTGATTTTTACCCTATTATGTATTATTTATAATAACGCGATTTTTCCATAACACGGTATTCTTCAGGAACGCAACCACCACATTATAGGAGAACAGACTATGTATAGATTAAGCGTAGCTATAGAATGAAGTTGCTCATTTACTGTCCATTGGGTAGATTCATACCACTACAGTATAAACACCCCCCGAATTAACATACACACTACTACACGTGTTCTGGGAAGGCCTTCACCCAGCAGAGAATTGACAAAGCTCTTTCAATTGCTTTTCGGGTTGCTTTTTTTTGTGATTCCTTTTTGTTCCCCAACCTTTTGTGTTGAATGCTTCCTAATGCACCGTGACGCTGCCTCCACAGGGCCTACCAAGAGGGCATTTTCTATCAAGCGGGTCCATCCGGTCAACCGAGTTCTCTGCTGCCACAGCCTGAAAGTCACCAGCAGTGGAGGAAGGAAGACGAAACCAGGACTGAGACGCTGGTCTGAAACCAACTGCTACGTCCTCCCGACGGCTGTGTGTCTCCTTCTCGTTCAAGCGTGAAAACCGAGCTTGTTTCCTCCGACAAACTCAACAATAAGGGGGTGGGGGGGGTGCGGGGGGGGGGGCGGGTGCGGGTGAGACTCGGGGGAAGAATAATCACTTTAAATGATGCGACCCCCCCCCCCCCCCGTACATCCATTTTCACTGGCAGAAAGTGACCTTTGACCTACGTCACGGGGAACATCTTGAAGGGCTGTGGTATTTGTACGACAAGATGCGGGGGGAGGGGGTCTCCAGATTATAATACCTGATTGGCACTTTTTAAATTGGTGTCCTTGTTTTGTGTTGGGGGTTTCTTTTTTTAGACACATGAAACGGACAAATCGTGATTTATTTAGCTTCCGTATCTTGGCAATACACGTGACTACAATAGTGTAATGTCTAAGGGTTAGATAATTTAATTGTCACTAACCCATTTGTTAATATTGTTGAATACTTGAGAACTTGCAGCATTTCCACACCGACATAAAAAAATCAATGAGAAATATCGTTCAGCACATGCGGCTGCTTTTACAAAACCATCCTTTTTTTTGTTGGTGACCAGAAAATGTGTTTTTGTAAACGCCTTTTATATCGCCTGTCATATCATCATCGTCATCATCCTGAAGAAATGAATCGTGCTTTGTGGTGTAACCACTTGGTAGGGTGTGAACATTTCCAGCCTGCCCTCCCCCCCCCCAGAAAAAGCCTCCCATTAAACTTGAAGGCTGCTTCGAAGCAAACGCTCGCGGTCCGCGAAACAAATTCTGCGTTTTCTCAATTTTGCAAAAAAGCATTCCACTACGGACCAAAGCTGTGACGGCGACCCCCCCCACCCACCCCAGCACCGCCCATTGCTAGCGGTCACGAGCAGATGTGGACAAACGTGTTCAACCATTTCAGTGGCCTCTATGTGACTTGAGTGGCCTCTTCTCCAGCCTTGACTTCAACAATGCAGCAACCGCTGCTGCACCAACAGTCCTGCCGAAGACCGAGAGGTGGCCCGTCGTGACGCTGGTCGCGCACCCCTTGATATATCGAGAAAGTAAAACGAGTGCTGACAAGCGTGGCACATGCCTCCGGAAATCCTTGAAGACGATAGTTAAATTCAGGGCTTCATCTCTCACTGAATGCGTGCCGGGTCACTGATAGACTGGTGTAGGCACTTGACTATTTGCCACAGCTAAAAGCAAGATGTATAGTGGATGTGGTGTTGTGCCAGGCGGGGACATATTCTATGGATCATTGGCCGGGACAGACTTGGCTGAAATTAAGCCCTGATTATATGAATAAAACGTAAATTGTAAAAGTCTTCCCTAAGTGTAGTGGTTCTTGTGACAATATATAGGGGGATTTCCTTTTACTGAGGGATATTGATAGTGCTGTATTGTAATGTTAGCTTGCCTATTGTCAGCATTGCATTAACAGGTCCTAGTATCTATTGTTTTCTGTTAACACTGAAGGTTGGGTGAAGATGTGCATTGCAAAGTTGAACCGCGTTTTTCCTTTCTTCACTGAAGCAGTTTGAGTAATAAAAGCTTGAATGCGCCTGAAAAAGCGTGTGTACTGCCGTGCCGTATGGTAAAAAAAACCACCACAATGCTTCTGAAAGGGGCATACTTATTTTGTTAACTTAAATTATAAACTCAGGTGATTATGTTAAAATTTAAAGTGTGACCAACCATCTCCACCAATGCCTTGCTCTTCTCAGTGTGCTCAGCAACTGTAACAAAGATCACCAAAATAATATATACAACACAGTACCGGAGCGAACAGATTGCTAGGACTACACCTGACATGATCACTTGTACATACCTTGTCCAAACAACGGTGCTATCCGAACGAGTGAACATTTACATTAGCCAAGGGAATACATTGGCTTCGAAATTTTGGATGAGGGAATTACCCCCCCCCCCATCCCCCCGCCATCCTGCAGCTTAAATTGTTGTTAGCCACATACTTTCACATCAACATCTCCCATCTCGACAGCTACAGCCGTGGGGCGTAGACCTCCACAAGAGACTGGAAGATCGAATCAGATGTGAGCAGATTCATAATTATCAATACACGTGGGACTCGTACCGATGAGGAGTTTTCTTGGTTCATTTTTTTTTTAAGCCTGCAGTAGAAATCATTCAAGCAAGACAGAATTGTTAGGATGGCAAACAAATGTTTAAAAAATATATTTTCCTGCTGATATACTTGTGCAAACACAACAATGCGCTGTGGATTTTGTCATTCGCTGTGGTTTTTCAGTTTGAAAATCCATAAAAGATGTCCTATCCACCGGGTTTCCAATTAGAAGGTGGGCAAATCAACTCATCTCATTAATAATTGTTGCTCTTTAACAGCTACCACTGCCGTTCTGTGGTGTGATTTTAGTCATTTCCTGTTTTTTTTCTGTTCTAACAATGTCTCCGTTAAATTAAATGTCAATGAGATATATGCTGGCAATTGCACGTGCGTAAACGTGTCTGATGAGGGCCAAAGTAATGTTTGTACAGTGGGTTGATTACTGGAGACAATAAAAAAACACATTTTATATGAAGAGTGAAAACAATAATAATCTTTTAACCATCACCCAGAACTAATTGTACTCAACTGCTCCACCTTGTATGACGGACTCGGGGCTGTTTGATAGCTGATTTGCAAATGGATTTTAATTTAGCTTAACACTGAAGGCATCTTGTTTATTAGTTATGATATTGAGGACATACTCTCGGCGGCATTGTCAAGGCCATTTGAGACCCTGAATAACCTTTCAAAATGTATTGCACGATGACCCTTTATTCTCAGACAAAATACAAATGCAATGCTGACTTTATTTCTTGTAGGCCAAAATGAATTGTCTTATAAAGAATAAAAAAGGCATCGACATTAAACTTTACGGTTTACAAGTTCAGACTAGGTCTTCACAGTGGTGCTGTATAGGTCACCTATATGTTTTTTGGGTTGTACCATGTTCGGCATGGTGCCCGACGTTTCACTGCACGTGCTGGGGGCTTATGCAGGAACTGAAACTTCCAGCATGTGGAGCAAAACTTTGCTCCACGTCATTGCCAAACAACATGCTGTACACAATTTGAAAAGATGTTTGAGTTTATAAATTCATAGTCATTCAGTGGGAAAATGTAATCTGTACCCAGCTCCACCAGCGTTAGCATCACAACTCAAATAATATTCAATATATTAACCCAGTTTCATCAGTTGCGAAAAACTTCCATCTGTAAAGTGCAGCGATTGGGAGCACTCAATAATTTACTTCCACGTTTTAGGTCCGACACTTACAAAATGCAGCTCACCAAATGTATCAACAAAAGTATCTGGTTTAATCAGATGGATTAATGTCACAATTAATTTTTGTGTGGCCTATTTGTAGGGAGGGGGACAGACATTTACAATTTAAGCACAACCTGGGTTGAAATAAAAAAAATGTACACGCATTAAAAACTCGATCAATTGCAGTATATTTTTCTTGCCAAGTTACATATGAAACACATGGCGCTGGCCGCCGAGGTGGCAACATTTTTTTAATAACATCCCTGGCACAAGTCGATGATGTCTTGCTGCAGCCTGGCTTCGTGTGGAAATGAGTGAATCAGTGTTATATTTTTTTGTTTTGTACATGCAAACCGTTACTACTGAATTAACTGTTTTTTAATGTTATCTTTTTCACGCGTCCGTTGTTTCCTTTTGTATTTTTTTTTATTAACGATTAAAAAAAATTAAACGAGCTGTTTGGATTTGTTTATATTAAAGCAATGCCATCTTTATACGTAGATATTTTACACTTTTTTAAATTAGTACTGTATTTTTATACAGCACACGTTTTTTTTTCAAGTTGAGAAATGGCAATTTAAAACGGTAACAGTAGGTTTTTTTTTTAAACATAGGTGTTGCATAAAACTAGCACTGATATGTGTAAAATAAAATTAAAGTAGTTTCTTTTCTACGTAAAACAACTAATAACTGTGAGACAGTTGGATATTTTGCCTTCGATTTTGACGCTGGCCTTTTTAACTGTAACAGGTAGGTTGTGATTGATGTAAATTATCGTTTTATAGTGAAATTGTTGGGTTTATTTTCTCTGTGGCTCAATACTGAAGCCTCAAGCTATGTGCAGTGCAGTAATGTCTGTGGTTAATGTGTATTTTTTGTGCATGCAGTGACATTAGTTTAAAAAAGCAAATATAAAAAAATAAACATAATAAATGTACTGCTTGTCCTCTTCGTGCTGAATTCCTGAAAGCTATAATCTCATTCCGCACGCTACACACCTGCCCGCTGACATCCTACATGAGTTTATGTTGAACTTCTTTCGCACCGTACGTAACCAACAGTGCTAATCGGAGTTGCGGGGGAATGACGACAAACTAAACACAAAAATAATTTCTAAAACAATTCGTTTGCAATCTAGATGATTTAAAAGCGCAGAGCTCCAGTGGATTTCTAACATAGGAAGAGCGTTCCATATGGCTGCAGACGCGTATCTTAAAGCGGTTGAACATGCACTGATCCCTACTTTATTGTGGGCGATATTGGCACATAAAATGAAAAGTGATTGATTAATGAGCCTCGCTGGTAGAGTCAGCAGCAAGTCATATCAGTTCCAAATCCTTTTATACCACAGCCCTTATGTTCTCTCGCCCGTGTAGTACCCATGAGGTGGCTGGGCATGTGAGTGACATGACCCAGCAAACGCAGCCTCGCCTCCCCTCGAACCTCTTGATCGCTCGGAGTCTGGTCGTAGGAGCAACGGTGACGTTTCTGACGAAGTCGAACCATCGGATGACAAGCAGGCGTCTTTAGCATCGCGTGTGGAAGGTCTGCAGCCAATTAAAATCAGGCCTCCACACCATACAATAAAACTGACACAAAAAAAACATCACTGGTAGAATCTCAATTTGGTGCCGTGACTTAAACCGTTTTTGGGACCAAATAAACTTATTTTTTTTTGTTGGAGCAGTGCCCTTCAGCGCAAAGCTCACGGGCCACGTGCGCCCCCTAGTGGACGCATTGCTCGATACCTGTGAAAACACCCCCCCCCCTCACGTCATCATCGTGCTGTGCTGTGATACCAACAATGGTTTCAAATGTGTGGCGGGGACCTCACACTGATGTCTTATCGGCGAGAGTGGCACATCCTCTGAAAATAAGTGAAGAACCATACTGAACGCCAATAAACGCCGTCCTCAAATTTGTAATGTTGTAGTGGGTTTACTCTCCAACACACCAGTATGCTGAAATAGTAACTAATTGGCACGTTTTGTTTACGTGACATTTTACTATTTTTTGGGGTCTTTCGGTAAAGTCACATAGATAAGTTCAAAGAAAATAACAAAAAAATATTTTTAAAAACTACGAAGTTTCGATCGCAACACAAGCAAGCCGTCCTTCCTGATGACGAACGCTTGTGTTGCGATCGAAACGTATTTTTTGTGTTATTTTCTTTGAACCTATCTACGTGACTTTACCGAAAGACCCCAAACATTAGTAAGATGACGAACGCTTGTGTTCGAAACGTCGTAGTTTTTGGTTATTATGAAAAATATTGGTGACGTTAAGCCTACTGCCTTTACTGACTACCACGCCGACTAACCACGTGTTTTAACCATAATACCGGGCTCGGGAGGAACGCCCCCACGTGTCTAGCTCGCCGGGTCACGTGACGCGCGCACGCGGTGACGTCAGGCACCCGGAAGTAAATATGGCGACGGGCGGTGGCGTCTACCGACGGCTCCGCGTCCCCTCGGCCCCCGCGGGCCCCGCGGGCCCCTGGAGCCCGCGGGAGTCGGCCCGGAGCGCAGGGACCGAGTACCGCGAAGGTTAGCAACAACAACAACAACGAAACGAGCACCTTCGCCCTCGCTCATCTCTCGAGACGCGCCTCGGCGGAGAAGCCGCGGCCGGTGGACTTCGTCTTCTTCTTCGTCTTCTTCTTCTTTCGTGCGGCTGATGTCAACCAAACGTTGTTATTTTGTGATCTTGCCAGCGAAGGCCCCGCTGAGCTGCGCGGGGCTCTTCTACGCAAGCGACGAAGCGGCTTGGTGTCACGTGGACATTTATAGCAGCCATATACTCTGATCTAAATCCAGACAAAAAAAATGTGTTTATTTGTACGTATTTTTAAGTGACTTGTATAACTTCCCCATACTTTGCCCTCCTTACGTGTTTTTGTATTGTTACTTTCTTTAAAAGAGCTTTATCGCTCTTCGGATTCCTACAGTCAGTTCAGATTCTGATCCGCCGCGATTCGATTTAAATATCGAGTGTCATGTCTATGATTAGATTCGACAATATTAATTGTTTGTATACAGTATTTTGTCTTGTGATAGATGTCGTCCCATTTGCCTAAAGGAAGCCAATCAATGCGACTTTGAATTAAACGAAAATATTGGAATTAATTGTTTCGCGTCGCCGCTCAATGCGTGGATCGCTTAGCGAGGAATCGATTGCGATGTATCGATGCATCCAGCGATTGTTGAGGATTCTGGAATTTCAATCTATTCCAGTGTGGACATTTTGGAATTTTCAAACGATGTGATTATTGTAACTATAAGACCGTGAATAATATTGTTAATATTGACATACATTTTCAATACTACAACTTATACACACTGGACACCCAGCTCCTATCTCACTGTGCTTTATATAATTCAGCGTAAAGCAGTTTGGGTTAGTGATGATGCAGCACTCTCGCTCAAGTCACTCGATCTCCGACGGTCAGTCGCCTCCTTAGTCCTTACCATTCTTATATTGCCACTACCATAGTTGCTGTGAAGTTCACCCATTGATTTTGCCATCTTACCACCTTGGGGACCAGGTCTCACAGACGGACGGTTTCACCCCTCCCATGCTGTTCAACCACCTACACTTCATGTTACAATGCGTCTCTTTCTGCTTGTTCACTCACACTGCTCGACTTTGGAATACCCTCCCATCGTTTATTTTGTCAGGCTCTTAACTTGCTCAATCCAAGAGAACTCTTCACTGTCATTGCAACTTTTTACGGTGCTTTTTGTTGGTCGCTTGGCGTTTTTTGGGGGCTTTGGGCCCATGCTCAGCAACTTTAGCAAAAATAATTATTAAATAAACAAAAATGTGCAGATGAGACGGAACAAAATTTAAACAATATAATGGAGATGCTAATTAGGCTAAATAAATATATATATTTTAATCAAATCCGTACTTCAAATCATGACAATTCATCACATTTCTGAAACAGTGGAAGTGCATCATTTTATGCCTAGTTACAGCTATGTATAGTGCTTGGATGTATGACCACATTTGCATGTCATCTCTTGTTAGGCTGCGTATTGCCAGGAGATGGCACTACAACAATGGGCTCCATCCACTTTCAAATGTAATTCATTTGGTCTCTGTAAATCTGTGTGCAGCTATCTCTTTAATATGCATGGGTTTCCCCGGGTATTCTGGAGAGAAAGTCAACCACGGAGATGAAGCAACAAAATCAGGTCTCGTACTGGTGCGAGGTGAATTGTCTCATCCAGAATGGCTCGGGGAGGACTTCACCCAGCGGTGGAATGGTCATGATGACACTGTCTTCCTCCCACATGCCGCTCATTCATGGAGTTAACCAAGCATCTCAATGTGGGTGCTGTTGAAGATGAGTCATTTTGAGATTCAGTGAGGCATTCCTGGGTAAAGAAATATCCATTGGTACTCTTGCAATGACATGTGCACGGGACTGCAGATGTAAGACCAGCAGAAGAGGAGCAGGAGAAGCCACTGCCCCGCATCAATGCACACTCCGTCTTCTGGGTGTGCGCCTCGGCTGGAGTAACCTACTACACTGACTTCCCAACAGTGCTGCTCAGAGACAGCACCATCCAGAGGTGGGGGTGCAAAGTAGGAGTGTATGGTTATGGTAATTCTAATGCATGTTCTCTCTGCGGTCACCTGGATTTTTATCCGGGTCCTCCCAGTTTTTCCCTCCACATTTAGAAACATTCCTGAGAGTATTTGGCAAATATACCTTTCCACATGATAAGCCACTTCGTTGGGCTATCATTTGTGGCCAGGTCGCTTCTGGCAAAGATCTACATAGCTCAGTGGGCCTTACCTGATAAAATAAAAAAAATAGTTGAGTGAATATACACGAGGTATTTCAGAATAAAAAGGCACGATGAGAATTCCAAGTTTGGTTTTGCATGTCAAGATGACATAGCACTTCCTGAATGTATTCTAAACAAAGCCTGTTTTATATACAAAAATGGTGATGCCATATTTTTGTACATAGTGTGCTAGTGGTACTTGTTGTGCTTTTGCCATCTGACACATTTTTTTCGTGTGTATTTAGCATTTACTTTTCACCCTGCATGTTTTTTTTTCTGACTAAATAGTTTTCTCGGTTTAGAAAGTGCTTTCATGTGCATTAGTAAGTTGGGAAATGTAAATGGTTTCGTGGGTATTGTGCCATTCCAGCACTCACCAGATTTCCAGGCATCAGTAGGTGTTAGCCTCGAATTTAGTTTTTTTACCAAATGCCCTGCCCATAGTTGGTGGACAACTGCAGATTTGTGTCAGTAACTTTTTGGCAGCTTCTTTGGTGAAAAGAGGATAATACTCTTTGGTTCTTTCGGTAAAGTCACGTAATTTATTTTCTTTCTACGTGACTTTACCGAAAGAACCAAAGAGTAATTCCTGCAGTCACGAAAGCTTCAAATTAAATATAATAATATATATTCTTGGTTCTTTCGGTAAAGTCACGTAGAAAGGAGACAATAAAATAATACAAATATAAAACAATAAAATTCTCACGACGTTTCGACTGCGACACAAGCAGTGTTGCAGTCGAAACGTCGTGATCATTTTTATTGATTTATATTTTTATTATTTTATTGTTTCCCTTCTACGTGACTTTACCAAAAGAACCAAGAATATGAATCCCTGCAGTCACGAAAGCTTGAAATCAATAATAATAATACAGTTGCTGTGAGAAGATAGAATTCAGCTCATTCCTAATTACCTTTAGTTTCTAATGGATCACACACTCGCTGATGGAACAGCAATCAGGGTTTGAGGGGTGGGGTTTCCGGTATACAAATAAAGTTAATAGATTGAGAACCCAAGAATAATAAAAGTTTATGGCATTTTGTAATAGCTAAATTCCAAAATGTATCTTATTTTGCCATGTTGTTGAGCAAAATCATCAGCCAAGATTAATCCACTGCTGGATGAAGGCCTCCCCCAAAGTTGTCACCATTCACCGTGGATCTGCAATGCACTTGTATTTACGTCGCTGTGGTCTGCTTTATCGGCGCAGCTGGTGGTTCGTTGCTGCAGTTGTGCTGCTGTGCGTGAGCCTGGCGATCGCCGCCTATTGCATGTTCTACTTGGAATGGTACTGCTGCGTGCCCGACTACGAGACGCACAACCCCGTCCTCGTACCCACTGCCACGGCCACCTTCATCCTGGCCGCGTTGTGGTGAGTGCGATCGAGTGTGCCCCAGAAGACGTTTTCTGAAATGAACACGCCTCGCCAGGTCCTTGTGTGTACGCAATGCCCAAGGGTTTTTTTTTACTTCAGTCACTTCCATCACAGTTGTGTTAATGATTCACCATTTAAAATCAATTCTGACGCTCACGACAGATGCAAATAATTTTGCCGCAGGGATTGTTTATTGGTGATTCATGTAAATTATATGCCATTACCTTTACGCTAATTAGAATGAACTTGACAATACATAACATGATCACCTTCCACCTGTCCATCTTGTCTGTAAAAGGGGGGGGGGGGGGGGTTACATTGGCTCTTGTATTTGTCGTCGAGGTGGTGGGAGGTGAATCACTGCATGGCTAATTCACGAATACAAGTTGGCTTTATATCGCATCTCAATGCCACCACACGTATGTATGTTGAACTCCTTTCGCACCGTACGTAGCCAACCCTGCTAATCGGGAGTTTGCAATGCACATTGACGTTGATGGCAAACAATAGAAAACTAGACCCTAGAGGAGAATAAAGCATGAAGATTGGAAACCTCACAATTTGCAGCTCTTGAGAATTCACATTTTTGGATATACAGACGTTATTGTCATGCGGAAGCGTGAAAAAGTATACCCTCTATTGTGTAAAAATCCTGTGAAAATTTGCTTCTGTCGGCTGTTAAACAACACATGGGCAGTACTATGAGAATTCCAAATGGATTATATATTCTTCGTCCAATGGCATGATGCCAATAGCACAATTTGAATACAGTACATTTGGAGTAGACAGACCTATGAAGTAAAAAATACAAAGCACGTTGTACGTCGTCAAATCATGCGCGTAACTCTCAGTCCGTGTGGCTCTCGGCATGGCAGGTGACGACGCCACATCTGCCTCTAACTCAAATTCATCAATCCTTTTGTGCAGCTTGAACATGGCACTGTGGTCCGTGTGGTCTTTCTTCACACCCTTCCTCCTCTTCACTCAATTTATGGGCGTCATCATGGTGATCTCGCTGCTGGGCTGACGACGCACAGGTAAACATCCGGAAGGATTTCAACACCATTCCTACTCGCAGTGTACTTGGACAGCCCTTTGTCCAACCACTGCCATATGAACACCTCCCCCACGCTGGTGCAAGTCATGTGGATTAGTTGACCATGCATGAGGTTTTTTTTTTGGGTTAGATTGCCTAATTATAAATGTGTCGTTAAACCCGCCACCACCCGACACAGCCAATTAGTAAGGTTTGTCACGTAAACAGAACATGTCAATCCGTTACTAGTACAGCACACCGGTGTGTTGTAAAGTAAACCCACAACATTTACAATTCGAGTACGTTTCGCCAGTAATTACAACTAGCATCATCAGGCAACAGCCAGACATATTTACGTGATCTAACTTTAAAAAAACCCTCTTATGGATATTGGTCACAAAAGCCTACGTGTTATACTTGACCATGCTTCACACTGGTCGGTACGGGTTGAAGAGGGGGAACATGGACATAAAAGTACAGTACAACCATAGACTTCACTTAACTGCCCTCTGCTACCACTCACAGCCTCCACTGCAAGTGTGCAGTGGTAACAATTGAGTATGGTGTGTTCCAATGCTCAACAGGCATATTAACAAGTGGCTGAAAATTAATGTGAATTATCAGTGACGAAGTATATTTCAAGGACAAAACTGGCATGAGTGCTTAGAAACCCAAGCTCATTGTTCCACGGTGTAGAGTTAAAATTGAACACTGACCCATGATGAATGCAGCATTGTGTGACCGTTGATGAATGTGTTCACGACAAGCTGCAGATGGGGATTTTTTTTGTTAACTTCTGTATTGTCGGTGTCTAGTCAGCTGCCACTAATTGGTAATGTCGCCAGTCACTCAAGGTCAGGCGAAAGCAATGTTGCATTGCTCTGGGCAATTCGGTTTTCTATGGAAATATCCATAACGGCTCAATTGCTGGCCGAGATGAACGCCTGCCCAGTCAATTTGATTTAACTCAAAATGAAGTGACAGCTCAGTGGTGAGGTGCAGTGTTTTTTTGAAACATATCCTAGGCATAACCATGCAGGATAATATTAAAACTACTTATGACATTATAGCTGTGCCAATTTTGTGTTACTGTAAACTTGTCAATGTTACATCAATTTGGGTAGTTAACACATTTTCAAAGCAGGGTGGTTATTTAGATGTTTTGCAGTATTTTATCCAAATTTGAGTAATGTGAACATAATGCCCAACAGCATGGGCCCATTAAATTATATTTAAACACTCTTGAAATATGAACAGAATGAGCTTAAATGCAAGGAAACATACGAGTATTCATCTTACCTTTATTATAATGATGAACAGCAAAATATAGGCACAGATTTACATTTAATTCCTGATGTTTGTTCCTGTAATCATGACATGGCCTATGACCAAATCATCCAGAATGCTCCTGATCTCAGCTCAGAAGCTATAAGCTGAGTTGAGCCTCGATAATGCATGGGTGGGTGACCACCATGCAAATTAGTGTTATAGAGTATGGGGCTACATGGTAGGCAGCAGAAGGGAGTTCAGCAAAATCCATTTTTGGACTATTCTTTATGATCCTTCTATGCTGCCCCCTTCAACAACCCTCACTATTAAGCACGCTGAAGTACTGTATAGTGAAATATCCCCTACGACTCACATAGCATAGTGGTGGTCTCATCCAGCAATGGGTTGAGAAAGGGCTATACATGTACAATCATAATTGTATAAATGTGAATGCCGTAACAGCACGAAGTTTGTGTTTTGACGTCAAAGACTTTTGAAACTCTTACTGTAGTTTTACAACGGACAAAGTGCTCAAAAATTCTATGTGCACGTTGATATTTTGTTTACGCATATCCAAACGACAAATACAATTCGATTGGCATGTACCAGATGATGACCAAGTTCTTTTGAAAACACAATATTGGCAATTGAGATCATTGGTCAGTGAAAGTAGCTTTCCTCTTCTCCACGAATGCACTCATTCCTTCTTTGCGATCATCCTGTTCGGAAACGTTCACAGCAGAAGCAGCAATCAAACCAATTTGACAAAGAAGTGCGCATTCCCAAACTGTGTTCATTAAACAATTACTCGTGTTTTGAACATTCCTTGGACGGTTATAATTTGCAGAGCCATGTTCTTCCCCCCCCCACCAATGCTAATATAAAGGGCATGTTGCGTCAAGTGCTTTGCGAGGTCTATACCATGTTCTGATCATCACACGAGTCTGGTGCCACCGTGCTCGCACGACACAATACAAATGTGGAAGGAATGAGTGTCGAAACAGTCTGCATTATGCCTCAAAAGTTCCCTAAGTATTCAGAAATACGCTACATGTGTGTGATCCACCACTCTGGGGACAAATGTTGGGTGTATTATTTAAAGCTATAAAACTCCCGAACCCACTGGACTGCAAGGTGACTGGTGAGATGGCAGGATTGCAAGTCGATTCTTTAATCGATTTGTGCAGAGATCCGAGTCTACCAGGTGCCCCACTTTCTTCTCACACTAAACACTATTTATGGAATTGGCTCACCGTCCTCTTTACAAGACACCAGAAGATGGGCCTTTAAACTCGGTGAGGGATTCCTGGGTACATTAGAATCCAGTGATCTATGTGACGAATCTTATTTTGTAACTGAAATTTCTGTACTAAAAATTAAGTACACTATTTAATCGTGCAAAACTTACGGTTGCAAAGGTGGCATGGAAGAATCTCTTCTCAAGACGGTTTCCTTCTGCCAGTGAGAGCTCAAATGCTGCAAACAACAATATCAAGAATCAGAATCTTTATCATGGAGAAAATCCGATGAGCTACAAAGCTCTTTTTCACAGATGTCCAGTAGAGGCGGGTCAGAAGGTTACCACAACAAATGGTACAAAAAGCGATCGGAGTGCAAAGGATAGGAAAGGTAAGCAAATCACAAAAATAAATACTTTAATACATCCTAGATTCAATCTTTAATTTTTGCGTACAACGCACACCATCTGCTACTGATTGTACCGTTGCGTTTGCTGTGTGCCATAACGTTGGCTGCGAGATCTGAGCAGCAATGCCAGTCTGCGTGCTGTGGTAATGCAGATTGTATTTGCGTGGCAGCTGTACCAGCATTGACGGCCTCCTTAGCCATGGAGATGACGAGCTTGGAGTGGCGCGAGATCTTCTCTCCCAGCTTCACGGCCTCTCCCAGCAGCTGATCGGGTGGGCACACCTTGCTGACGAGCCCTGCCCAAGCAAGAGCAACTTAATAAATACAATGTACATGTACTGGCCCTTTTGTTAATCCACTGCTGAATGAGCACGTCCTCACACCGTGCGGATCGTGGGAGTTATTTGGCCATACACTTCACAACGCTGGTCAGTGCGGATTTGGTGAAGGCAGATAGCATCGACGTGGGGACATAGAAGCACATTACAGCCATGGATTTTGCTACACGAACCAAATCGAATAATAAATTCACTGTTTATTAGACATGGCATTTCCAATCTTTTACTAGATTGTGGGCAAAACAAAGAGCTGTAAATATTTTAATTTATGAATAAAAATGTCTATTAAAAAAAGTGACGAGTATTTTTCTGCTGCTATTAAAAAGGATGTTTAATAGCCGCGTGTAATAAACAGATGCTTCTCTACTTCATTACAAATGATGCACAAAGGCATTGCTTATATTGAGACACCAAGTGGCATTTTCAATCATGATCACATACAACAACTCCCAAGCATCAAACTGGGGAGCAGTTTTGCTTGTATATCTCCATATATATGAAAGGCAAAGTTGTGAATGTGTGTCTGTTAAAAATGTTTAGCCTACTTCCCGACATGCAACAAACTGGAAATTTGCCATGTGGGTATTTTCCAGACTGTACACCATGCAAAAATTATAAAAATACACTGTTGTTTTTTTTTTGGGGGGGGGCTCAATAATGCATGTATTTTTTGCCACGGCAAGTGAGCTGTGACGTCAAATCTGTCATGTGACCCATGCATGTGCAAGCGTAACGCATTGTAGTGTAGTGGTTAGCGTGCCGCGCTACGAACCCGGCGACCCGAGTTCGATTCCCGCTCACGGCTACCACCAGTGCCGATTATTTGAACCGGTCCTGGGCCTCCCCTAGGTCGACTCAGCCTCAAACGAGTAACTGGTGTGGTGTGTAAACATCGTCACTGGGGAGACAAAGGCGGCCGGGCGTGGTGAATCCAAGTCCCGGGCAAAGCCGGATAGTTAAGCTAGTACCATATATTTTATTCTTCATATTGTTATATGAACCTTATGGCGGGACCCCGCGGTCCCATAAGCCCCCGGCTCTCACATAAACTACGTTGCGACGTCATTTTATGTCTGTCGAAGGCGAACGACACGGCAGTCTATTCCTCTCGATGAGCTCTACACAATGCGCTAAAGAACGTTTCAAAGTTTTGTTTCTTCTGCGCATTCATCCTCGCTGCGCTTGGACGACACGACAACAGAGTGATCCACACCAGGTGGGTCGCGGCGTTTATGTGCGCGGTGGGACGGAGTCGCCAAAAAAATTAATTACGATTTTGACTTCCGTTTATTCGGGACCCCGGGGTCCCGCAATAAGGCTCATATGTACAATTGATACTGATAATGTGACATGACTGGCAGGCTTGCGTGGGCAACATAAAGTGAAGCTAGCGTTGGGTGTCTGACCTGCTTCTTTGGCTTGCTGGGCTGAGATCCGGTCTCCGGTGAGCACCATCTCCATGGCCAACGATTTTCCGACCGCTCTGGTGAGCCTCTGCGTGCCGCCCGCCCCTGTAACACGCACGCATTTAAAGGTGAAACCAAAACTATGGTTGCATCTTATTGATGCACACCTGAGCTGTCACAATAAGAGTTTGAAGCTTTCTTATGAAAAGAAAGACAAAAAAATAACGTGGGTCATAAGGTGCAAGTTATGCAAGTGCATCACATAACTGTCAATCCCTTATCAGTGCCCTACCTTATTACAGACCAATTCAGACCTTGTCACCCCGTGCGCCTTATAAATCTCAAAGCTCATCCCACAAAGTCCCATCACATGGGAGAAACACAAACAAATATATTTTTTGACCCGTATTAAAATGGCTGTACGCCGTATGCACCTGAAAACACTTTCCCTGTACAAGAATACGGGTAAACCGTTTGGGTTGACAGATATGAGATCAAGAGAAGGCAGGAGAAGAGGTGGGGCGATGTGGTGCGATCGGACATGGTGGCCCGAAGAGCGCAAAGAGATGTGGAATAAGAATATTTAAAGTAATGGTCAAGCACGTCATAGCATTATAATGTAATTATATTTTAATACTTCAAGGCTGTGATGTCATGCATGCATTGCAACAAAAGCATCGGACTGATTTTAAAATGCTCAGCAAGGAAGCTTCAAACTCATGTTTGGATAGCCTGTGTTTAAACAATAAGAGCTTTTTAGTTGTTTTGCTTCCTTCTGTAATCTGTTGCTAAGTGTGCAGTATGCAGTACACCCGATGTGTGTCGCGCATTTTATGCTGTCAACATTTGATACGGCAGCCCTCGCAAATCTACCTTGATACCATGTGCTGACTGCAAAAACAAAAAACTCCACCGTACATGTGAATAAACATTTGTGAAAGGTGATGTTTAAGCAAGAAGCTTTCAGGGAGATTTTTTTTTATCAAAAAGTATGTGGAAATAGCCCCTTGTGCTGCACTGTTAGAAGGAGTGAGGGGGCCCCACTGAACATGACGTTTGCTCATGTTCATTTAAATTAGGATTAAACTATTTTTTATTTTACCAGGTAAGGTCCACTGAGCTATATAGCTCATTTTCACAAGTGACCTGGCCACAAATGATAGCTGAACGAAGTGGCTTATATGGAAATTTACAGCAGCCAAATACTCTTAAACAAATGGTTCTAAATGTGGAGGGAAAAATCGAAGGACCTTGAGAAAAATCCACGTGACCATGGGGAAACATGCAATCTCCAAATATACAGGCATTGGGGTCGAACCCACAATCTCCTGTATACCATATATGCATGTGTGTGGTTTGAAGACAGCTGATAACCAGGCGAGCTACGTCTGATGAACTTGGGAAATAACAAAAATTCTGAGCATTCTACATATTTGTAATTTTAACATGGCCACTATAGTGTGTGAAATTTTGAAGTGTGTTTTGTACGAGTTTGGTACACTGTATCAATGCATATTTGGCATACCGGGTATGGTGCCAAGAGCAATCTCAGGCTGCCCAAACTGGGCCTTTTCCCCAGCGTAGATGATGTCACACATCATGGCCAGCTCGCAGCCTCCTCCCAACTGCAAAACCATTAAGTCGCAGATTTCAGTGGACTCTTCAATATTGTTATGACGGATATTGTGGCATCAGTTTACTACCGGCAATGCCGCAAACATTATTACATGAGATTTATATTCTGCATGTGACAACAGAAAACAGAAATTAAGTTCTCTGACAAGTGATGAAAGCAGTGGATGGGAGATAATAAACGTTGGGAAAAAATGTCATTTAATTGCTGAAAAAGTGAGAAGTCTGCTCTCTGTTACCCTCAAAACAGGGACATTTCATCATTCCCCTGGCCCCGATTAACCTGGTTTATCCTGCATGGTTTTGCAACCAGATTCCTCCTGCGAGAAGACACACAAAACCTAGAAGAGACCAGATGCCGCATATTTTTTTTTTGCTAATCGGAAGCAGAATAAACGAGTTTCTGTTGTCCACCTATTGCCAAACAGGATTTTCTTTTTCCAGCAGCACAGTGATCCACGGGCCAGTGATCCACGGGCCAGTGAGCAGCCCGAGTGCAGGCCAGTGTGTGCGCTTACCGCGAATCCATTCACGGCTGCGATGACGGGCTTTTTGGTCTGGGCGACGCGATTCCAGTGCGACAGGAAGTTCCCACCGAAGCACTCGGCGAATGTTCGGTTCTGCATCTCCTTTATGTCGGCCCCCGCTGACGAAAAGAGCAACATGACCCAGCGAAGTGGGCTATTGCGCGTGTAAAATTTAACAACAAAATACACCTTCAGCGAGCAAGAATGTGACTGCCCTAAAGAGTGGTAGATTAAGTGGCCAATTACAGCTCTCGAGACGTGATATGTTTCGATTGAAGGTCTTGAACGATGTACAATGCAGAGATGGCCAATGGCTCAGGGGTCAGAGCACTGAGCCATTATCGCTGAGATTCTGGGTTTGATTCCACATTTCAGACACTCATGATTAAACCGGGTTTGTGTGTAGTGAATCGATGGTCTAAACTGGGTCAGCAAGGGGGGGGGGGGATTTTTTCACGTTTTATTTGGCTTTTCACTTTGGCTAAATTCCAGCTCTGAAAATCTTATACGGAAATTGGTTTTACTACAATGCGATGAATACTTCTCTGTAGCAGACAGGGCATGTGGAAAATAACACCGACTAGTGTGGATAAAGAGGCAACCTTTACAGGATATCAGAATCAGTTCTGTAATATCTGCTTTCAAGGCTATCCTCAAATACAATCGAGGACACACTGCCCCGTAACATTTTCGAATCGATACATCGTCTCGTGATAAGGCGCGGATGGCACAAATAATACAATTTGGGGAAAATATAAAATGTATGTTACAATGCGAGTACACATATGCAATGAACTAATGCATCTACAGCGTGTGTGTGTGTGTGCGCGCGGCTCTTACCGGCGAAGGCACGCTCATTGCCAGTGATCACGATGGCCCCAACGCCCGAGTCCGCTTCGAACAACTCAAGGGCTTTATTGAGCTCCAACATGAGGCCATCGCACAGCGCGTTGAGGGCCTTAGGCCGGTTGAGCTGTATTAAGCCCACGCTGTTGCCCTCTCCTTTCCTCTCCACTAGAATGTACTCGTACTTTGCGCCTGTGAACGCACATTGCAGCATACGTACTGCTGCTTTACACGAGGAAATTGATGTGCAGAATTTTCCCTTGTCCATCTTGTAAATAGTACACATACATTTCACCGGGTTATCCGCATTACCATGTGGGGTGCCAGTTAAATGCAACTGTATAAGATGTATTCTTGCAGTGTTTGCTTGAGTAGGTGAATCTAAACAAGGATATATGATGATCTGTTTGCTGTCAAGAATGGCTATTGTCCAAAAAGTCACCTATTATAAAAAACATTCCTTGTAGAGCAGTGTTATTGACCAATTTGTTCAGTTTTGCTCACGTGTCCTTGTGCACCACTGCCAATGCTATATCACAAGTTTTTTTTCAGCAGTGAAGTGCAATGTCTCTGCAAATTGTACCGCCAGCTTAAATGTTGTTTTACCACCTAACCAAGTTTACAACTGGGTGTCTTTAACCACATGTACATTGTCTTCATTAACAAATACATTATTAAATGCGTGATGAAATGTTACTGGAGTCTCTGGTGTTCCTTTTTTCATTCATTATTCGACTGGATTGTCAAGTTTTGTGCCCAGGCACAAATATACAAATTGCTTCTGGGCACGACAGTTTTGGTCTAGCCAGCTGAGCTGTGGGCAATGTACAATTTTAGCACAAGCTCAAGCATTTTAAAAATAATCTCACTGTTTAAGTCCTTTTGAGTAACACAGAATAACTTAATATCCGAGAGCTCATAGAGGATTATGACCAACTAAATCGGCACGATGCCGCAGGTTGAAAACCTCGATGTGTACATTACATCTTGCACGCGCGTGTATCCATCTCAAGCGTCTTATCGTGGTGACACCACGTAAAATGCATGTTTTCGTATGTACCCTAATTAACTATGATGCTCTAAAAAGCAGGTATGGCTGTATTTAAAGGGGGTGATGAAGACTGGTTTGTTGCCTTTGAATGCAGAAGAGACGTCTCCTCGTGATCTTTCAAGGTTTGGTGACGCTGTTTCTCCATTGCCCAGAGACCGTGGTTACGAATTCGCGTTTTACTATGAACTGACTTTCCACCCGTTGATCTAAAAAAAACACTTCAATTAATAAGAACGTCTATTTGAGGCGCTGCTCTGCCACAACCTTCAGCAATCAAAGGTAAAAGTAGATTGCGAAGGTGGAAGACTTGGAAATTGCAAAACTTGAGTGAGAATAATGAAGGGAATTGCTACGTGTGCAACGATGATTGTGCAATGGAGGAAAGTTCAATTTAATAATTTCTCGAGCAAAGAACACTGGTTCATAGCCATACATCTGCAATCGATTATCGGGAGGCTGGTGATCGAGACGTGCAACAGATTGGGGCCTTATAAAGAACCACGGCAATGATGAAGGGGAGGGTGGAGGGGTGAGGGGGTTGGAATGGCTAGAGTATCGTTCGGGGAATTGTGTTATAAAATAAAGCGGTGAGAGAGATATATATCTGAAGACTAATCATTGTTGCTGGGGTTAGGGTGTGAAGATCAGCAGAGTGTTAGGGCAGCGTGTGTAGGAGTGTTAGTATTATGGGGAGTGTTAGTTACGGCTATTCGTAGTGTTGTGGTTATGGGTAGAGTATTGTGGTAGCAGTTTCGCACTGGGCCACACTGTACAGGTACTATTAGCAGTGTGTCTTGCAATAAAAATTATTCGCGGTATTACCGTGTTAGTGTTATCAGAATGTGTTATTGGTGTGATTAATAGTGTCGTATCTGGCATTGAACTGCCCTCACCCGTGCAGGGGAGGTAGGGTTATTAGCAGTGTTTAGTACAGTGTTGATAGTGTTATTAGCAGTGTTTAGTACAGTGTTGTGTGTTAACGTAGTGTTGATAGTGTTGTTGCGGTGTTCGTGTCGTTGTCGTAGTGTATTGTCGTAGTGTTAGTGTTGTTGTAGTGTGGTTGTTGTATTGTCGTAGTGTTAGTATATTGTAGTGTTAGTATATTGTAGTGTTAGTATATTGTAGTGTTAGTATTGTAGTGTTAGTATTGTAGTGTTAGTGTTGTCGTAGTGTTAGTATTGTAGTGTTAGTATTGTAGTGTTAGTGTTGTCGTAGTGTTAGTATTGTAGTGTTAGTATTGTAGTGTTAGTGTTGTCGTAGTGTTAGTATTGTAGTGTTAGTATTGTAGTGTTAGTGTTGTCGTAGTGTTAGTATTGTAGTGTTAGTGTTATCGTAGTGTTGTCGTAGTGTTAGTATTGTAGTGTTAGTATTGTCGCTCTCACCTGCGCTGAGCCCCCGCGCCGCGCTCTGCAGCAGCCGCGGCCTCTGAGCCACGAGCAGCCCGCGCGCCGTGGCTCTACACAGCATGGACATGACGGGTGGGTGGCGAATAGAATGGCGAGAGAGAGAGAGCAGAGAGTAGAGAGCCGAGAGAGTGTAGCCGAGAGCTGACGAGGTGGAGCGACGAGAGACGAGAGCGCATGCGAAGGTCAGCGCCAGACGTCCGCGCGGCAACTTCCTCTCGTCGCGCCGGGCCCCAACAGCAGCGAGATTCGCCGATTTGGGGTCCGCGGTGAAATCTCTCGCCGACGTTGCGAGTTGCACGCAGGAGGTCCTCGTTGGTGGAAGGGGGGGGGTCACCCCTGGGGGGGGGTCACCCCTGGGGGGGGGGTCACCCCTGGGGGGGGGGGGTCACCCCTGGGGAGGGGGGGTCACCCCTGGGGGGAGGGGTCACCCCACGTTCTTACGCCTCTACGCGAGGAACGAAACAGGTGGACTCCTCCACATATCTGGCAGTCACCTGATGAGGCTGGTTGTAATTGCTGGCGAAGCGTCGTGCTCGAGATTGTTGATGTCGTGGTCTTGGCTCTCCAACACACAAGCGGCGTGCTTGTGTGTTGGCCACGTTATGTTCACGTGACAGACCTTGCTAGTTTGGCTGTGTCGGGTGGTGGCGGGTTTAACGACACGTTTATATATTTACACGATCTAACCCCAAAACACCTCTTATTATGGATGATTTTGGTCGCGAAAAACTACGTGTTAAACTTGCACACAAGTCAAGAGAGACGTTGGGATGGGGACCTCTTTTTTGTTGTTGTTTGCCAGCATCAAAGCGATGACACAAACAAGACGCGCGTGTGTGTTTAATCCTTTCAACAATAAGCTCGAGGTGAGCAGCTACAACATGGGAACTTTCTTGCCAGTATGAAAGTATAAGAATAGGTTTTGCCCTTTTTGGCAATAAAACATTATGTGTTAGGGATGTTCAAAGACCAAATAGAAACCTCTTGCAAGAAATCAAGTTCGATATTAACCACACACACTACTTGTGGTGAACATGCAAACAAACATGCTCTGGTAATATAATACATGGGCATTGTCTTTGAAACTGACTGGCCTACACCAGAGACAGCCTTCTTTAGGGCCTAGTCTCACCAGTGTCAGACCAGAGAACACCAAAAGGCGAACAGCACAAAGACAATGCCACTATCAGATCATTTATAGCTCTGGGTGAGCAGCTACAACCGTGGGACCTTTCTTTCCAGTATCAAAGTATAAGAATAGGTTTTACCCTTGCTGGCAATACAACAGGAGGTGTTAAGATGTTCACGCACCAAATATAAATATGTGTTAACCACGCACAGTACTTTGCGGTGAACATGAAAAAAATGCTCTGATAATATATGGCATTGTCTTTGAAACTGATTGGTCTACACCAAGGCCGTAATTATAATATATTGGGGGGGGACACATCCCCACACATCCCCCCCCAATATTCAAATATGCTCAAAATGTCCCCCCCAATATATTGCTATAAAAAATATTTAACAAAATAAAAAAATTGTGATGCTTTGTAAATAAAAGCAACAATTTTCTAAACCTTGGCCACAATATCTGGGCTTGTCTTCATATAACAATGCATAGATTTCTGTTCATATGATTGTGGTTATGGTTGTACTTTATGAATCCCTAATTCTGCCATTACATACAATGTACAAACACAAACATTTACGTTCAGGTGGTTGATAATAAGGGGGGTGGGGGAGTAGAACAGGTGACGTTTCGGGCAATTGCCCTTCACAGCTTTTGTTAGTCATGAAATACTCCTTAAGGATCCAATTCTCTGCCATGGTTTACCCTCTTCTGTTGCTGCTGTGTTCACGCACCAATAATTCCCCTTGTAAAATAACACGGGGTGATCAGTGTAACTTAAAATAAACTCAAACATGAAAACAATTCAGAGCATATACATGCTCTGACGAATTAATCATTGTCCGACACGTCGTCTAAGGATCTTTAATACTATATTTTATATCCTTTAAGGCCACTGTTCTTTTTGGCAAGGGTATTGAGTTTCCAAACCACAGGGTGGCCCAGATGTTCTTGTGACCCCCATTTATCTCTCTAAAACGTAATATTTTCAACGTTAAATTTTTAAACAGGAATATGCAAAGGACAAACAATGTGAGGGTCAATTAATTGGGACCCGCAAGACATCTGCACCACCCCGTGTAGAGTTCGCTACGAGTATGGCAGAGAAGGATGCGCTTGGGGCCTCAACGGAAAGCGCGAGGGAGTGGAGGGGAGAGGAGAGTGAGAGGGGAGAGTGAGAGGAGAGAGTGAGAGGAGAGTGATGGGAGAGTGAGGAGAGTGAGAGGAGAGTGAGAGGAAAGTGACGGGAGAGGGAGAGTGAGGAGAGTGTGAGAGGAGAGAGGGGGGAGTGAGAGGAGAGTGAGAGGAGAGTGACGGGAAAGGAGAGTGAGAGGAGAGTGAGGGGAGAGGAAAGGAGAGTGAGAGGAGAGTGAGGGGAGAGTGAAGGGAGAGTGAGGAGAGTGAGAGGAGAGTGAAGGGAGAGTGAGGAGAGTGAGGGGAGAGTGAGAGGAGAGCGAAGGGAGAGTGACGGGAGAGGAGAGTGAGGGGAGAGTGAGGGGAGAGCGGAGAGTGAGAGGAGAGTGAGGGGAGAGTGAGGGGAGAGTGACGGGAGAGGAGAGTGAGGGGAGAGAGGAGAGTGAGGGGAGAGTGAGAGGAGAGTGAGGGGAGAGTGAGGGAAGAGTGACGGGAGAGGAGAGTGAGGGGAGAGTGACGAGAGTGAGGGGAGAGTGACGAGAGTGAGGGGAGAGTGAGAGGAGAGTGAGGGGAGAGGTAGAGGAGAGTGAGGGGAGAGTGAGAGGAGAATGAGGGGAGAGGAAAGGAGAGTGACAGGAGAGCGAGGGGAGAGTGACGGGAGAGGAGAGTGAGGGGAGAGTGAGGGGAGAGGAGAGGAGAGTGAGGGGAGAGGGGAGAGTGAAAGGAGAGTGAGGGGAGAGTGAGGGGAGAGTGATGGGAGAGGAGAGTGAGGGGAGAGTGAGGGGAGAATGAGAGGAGAGTGAGGGGAGAGTGAGGGGAGAGTGAGGGAAGAGGAATGGAGAGTGACGGGAGAGGAGAGTGAGGGGAGAGTGATGGGAGAGGAGAGTGAGGGGAGAATGAGAGGAGAGTGAGAGGAGAGTGAGAGGAGAGTGAGGGGAGAGTGAGGGGAGAGGGGAGAGTGGAGAGTGAGGGGAGAGTGAGGGAAGAGGAATGGAGAGTGACGGGAGAGTGAGGGGAGAGTGAGAGTGAGGGGAGAGTGAGGGGAGAGTGAAAGGAGAGTGAGAGGAGAGTGAGGGGAGAGTGAGGGGAGAGTGAGAGGAGAGTGAGAGGAGAGGGAGAGGAGAGTGAGGAGAGCGAGGGGAGAGTGAGAGGAGAGTGAGGGGAGAGTGACGGGAGAGGAGAGGACGGGAGAGTGACGGGAGATGAGAGTGACGAGAGTGATGGGAGAGTGAGGGGAGAGTGAGAGGAGAGTGAGGGGAGAGTGACGGGAGAGGAGAGGACGGGAGAGTGACGGGAGATGAGAGTGACGAGAGTGATGGGAGAGTGAGGGGAGAGTGAGAGGAGAGTGAGGGGAGAGTGAGAGGAGAGTGAGGGGAGAGTGAGAGGAGAGTGATGGGAGAGTGAGAGCGGAGAGGGAGAGGAGAGTGAGGAGAGCGAGGGGAGAGTGAGAGGAGAGTGAGGGGAGAGTGAGAGGAGAGTGATGGGAGAGTGAGAGGAGAGTGAGGAGAGTGAGGGGAGTGTGAGAGGAGAGTGATGGGAGAGTGAGAGGAGAGTGAGGAGAGTGAGGGGAGAGTGAGGGGAGAGTGAGAGGAGAGTGAGGGGAGAGTGAGGAGAGTGAGGGGAGAGTGAGAGGGGAGAGTGAGAGGAGAGTGAGAGGAGAGTGAGGGGAGAGTGAGGAGAGTGAGGGGAGAGTGAGAGGGGAGAGTGAGAGGAGAGGGAGAGGAGAGTGAGGAGAGTGACGGGAGAGTGAGGGGAGAGTGACGGGAGAGGAGAGGACGGGAGAGGAGAGTGACGAGAGTGAGGGGAGAGTGACGGGAGAGTGAGAGGACGGGAGAGGAGAGTGAGGGAAGAGTGAGGGGAGAGTGAGAGGAGAGTGAGGGGAGAGTGGGAGGAGAGTGAGGGGAGAGTGAGGAGAGTGAGGGAAGAGTGAGGGGAGAGTGAGAGGAGAGTGAGGGGAGAGTGAGAGGAGAGTGAGGGGAGAGTGAGGGGAGAAGAGAGAGTGATAGGAGAGTGACGGGAGAGTGACGGGAGAGTGAGGAGAGTGAGGGGAGAGTGAGAGGAGAGTGACGGGAGAGTGAGGGGAGAGTGAGGAGAGTGAGGAGAGTGAAGGGAGAGTGAGAGGAGAGTGACGGGAGAGTGAGGAGAGAGTGAGAGGAGAGTGAGGAGAGTGAGAGGAGTGAAGGGAGAGTGACGGGAGAGTGATAGGAGAGTGACGGGAGAGTGACGGGAGAGTGAGGAGAGTGAGGGGAGAGTGAGAGGAGAGTGAGGGGAGAGTGAGAGGAGAGTGAGGAGAGTGAGGAGAGTGAAGGGAGAGTGAGAGGAGAGTGACGGGAGAGTGAGGAGAGTGATGGGAGAGTGAGAGGAGAGTGACGGGAGAGTGAGAGGAGAGTGAGGAGAGTGAGGGGAGAGTGAGAGGAGAGTGACGGGAGAGTGAGGAGAGTGAGGGGAGAGTAAGAGGAGAGTGAGGGGAGAGTGAGAGGAGAGTGAGGAGAGTGAGGAGAGTGAAGGGAGAGTGAGAGGAGAGTGACGGGAGAGTGAGGAGAGTGATGGGAGAGTGAGAGGAGAGTGAGGGGAGAGTGAGAGGAGAGTGAGGAGAGTGAGGGGAGAGTGAGAGGAGAGTGACGGGAGAGTGAGGAGAGTGATGGGAGAGTGAGAGGAGAGTGAGGGGAGAGTGAGAGGAGAGTGAGGAGAGTGAGAGGAGAGTGAGAGGAGAGTGAAGAGAGTGAGGGGAGAGTGAGAGGAGAGTGAGGGGAGAGTGAGAGGAGAGTGAGGAGAGTGAGGGGAGAGTGAGGAGAGTGAGGGGAGAGTGAGAGGAGAGTGAGGAGAGTGAAGGGAGTGAAGGGAGAGTGACGGAAGAGTGAGGGGAGAGTGAGAGGAGAGTGAGGGGAGAGTGATGGGAGAGTGAGAGGAGAGTGAGAAGAGAGAGAGAAGGGGGAGAGTGAAAAGGGTGAGCACAGAGTGAGAGGGGGATGCGTGGAGCGGGAGTGTCGGGTGATGAGGGGAAATCTCCCCTCTCGACAAAACGCGAATGCAATTCCATCTGAATATCTCAGCAGGAGCAGTCGTCACGATCAACCCAACAATGCGAGATGCACGCGGCGATAGAGGCGGCAAGAACGAGACGAATCGATTATTAATTATTACATCGAATTGGGGTCCGTTCCGGGGGGGTAGGGGGATAGGGGGGAGGGGTTGGGGAGGGGTGGGGGTGGAAGGGGGAGGGGTGGAACGGGGAGGGGTGGAACGGGGAGGGGTGGGGGTGGAAGGGGGGAGGGGTGGAAGGGGTGGGGGGTGGAAGGGGGAGGGGTGGAAGGGGGAGGGGTGGAAAGGGGTGGGGGGTGGAAAGGGGGGAGGGGTGGGGGTGGAAGGGGGGGAGGGGTGGAAGGGGGAGGGGTGGGGTGGGAAGGGGGAGGGGTGGAAGGGGGAGGGGTGGGGGTGGAAGGGGGAGGGGTGGAAGGGGGAGGGGTGGGGGGGTTATTCGCTACGCGACGGGGCCACGCAACCCGCACCACGTCACCCACATTCGCGAGCCACCTGTCGTCTAACGCTCCTTCGACGGCGGGAAGTTGCTAAACTGCACGAACGCTCTCCCCTTGACCCCCCCCCACCTCTCTCTCTCGTCGTGGTCAGCAACACCCCCCCCCACCCCCTAGCCCCCCCCCCGAACAATCACGCAACATCCCTGCTGCCACCCGTACGCAAAGAGCTCTTGAGAGCAATGGACTCGTTCGGACCATTCTAGAAGTTACCTCACCCCCCTCTCACTCCCCCCACCCCCCTCTCACTCCCCCCACCCCACTCCCACCCCCCTCTCACTCCCCCCCACCCCCTCTCACTCCCCCCCACCCCCCTCTCACTCCCCCCCACCCCCTCTCACTCCCCCCACCCCCCTCTCACTCCCCCCACTCCCCTCTCACTCCCCCCACCCCCTCTCACTCCCCCACTCCCCTCTCACTCCCCCCCACCCCCTCTCACTCCCCCCACTCCCCTCTCACTCCCCCCACTCCCCTCTCACTCCCCTCTCACTCCACCCCCTCTCACTCCCCCCACCCCACTCTCACTCCCCCCACCCCCCTCTCACCCCCCTCTCACTCCCCCCACCCTCTCTCACTCCCCCCCACCCCCTCTCACTCCCCCCCACCCCCCTCTCACTCCCCCCACCCCACTCTCACTCCCCCCACCCCACTCTCACTCCCCCCCACCCCCAACTCACTCCCCCCCACCCCCTCTCACTCCCCCCCACCCCCCTCTCACTCCCCCCCACCCACTTCACTCCCCCCACCCCCCTCTCACTCCCCCCACTCCCCTCTCACTCCCCTCTCACTCCACCCCCTCTCACTCCCCCCACCCCACTCTCACTCCCCCCACCCCACTCTCACTCCCCCCCACCCCCCTCTCACTCCCCCCACTCCCCTCTCACTCCACCCCACTCTCACTCCCCCCCACCCCACTCTCACTCCCCCCACCCCACTCCCACCCCCCTCTCACTCCACCCCCCTCTCACTCCCCCCACCCCCCTCTCACTCCCCCCTATCACACCCCACCCCACTCTCACTCCCCCACCCCACTCTCACTCCCCCCACCCCACTCCCACCCCCCTCTCACTCCCCCCACCCCCCCTCTCACTCCCCCCCACCCCCCTCTCACTCCCCCCTATCACACCCCACCCCTCTCACTCCTCCCACCCCCTCTCACTGCCACCCTCTCACTCCACCCCCCTCTCACTCCCCCCACCCCCCTCTCACTGCCACCCCTCTCACTCCACCCCCCTCTCACTGCCCCCACTCTCACTGCCCCCCGCCGCCCCTCTCCCCCGCAGCAAAGGAAACCCCGTTGGACGATTCGCCGCGGTGCCTCAAATTCGCGAGCGAATCGCGGCGGAGGAGCGCGCCGAGGCTGAGGCCGCGCCCCGGCGGCGGGGGGGTGGGGGGAGGGAGGGGCCTCTCGCGACGGGCGGCTCAGGGCGACGGGGAGCGGCGTGTGCGCGCGCGGGGGCCTCGCGCGCTTCTTCAGTCGCCAGCAGCAGCATCAGCAGTAGGCCACGCAGCTGCGACAAACAACAAGACGTGGTGGTGGTCGTGGTGGTCGTGGTGGCGTTCTAAGTCAGGGCGGCCGAGCAGCCTGCGACGAGGTGGACGGGGGAGGGTCTTCTCGTATGGGGTTCGTCACCCATCGCCGCCACCATCCGGTCGACTCGTGAGTTGAAGGGAAGGAGGAGGAGGAGGTGAGAGAGAAAAGTAGCAGCCGCCGCTGCCGATGATGATGTTGGTGATGTGCAATCCGGAGAGAGTTCGAGATGATGCACGTTAGGAAGGGTCTCGCCGACTTGCGATGCCCGTCGGCACAGCTGTAACGAGACGTTAATGCTCGCGACGCGATGGCAAAGGGCAAAATCCGCACGCGTAACTCGGGCGAGAATTGTTCATTCGCTCCCGTTGCCTCGTCTCAAGTGTTCATTACAGCTGCTGCTGCTGCTTGGGTTGGGTGGTCTCGAAGCAGAGCTCGGTTGATTCCTAATGTTGTCCGACCGTGTTTTATTGGTGGCGACGTTGGTGGTGGGAGCGCGTTCATAAGTTTCGGTGAGGAATTGTTGAGATTCAACGTTGACGGATGATGCCGTTTGAAATTATTGATGCGGCGTCATTCGATACACGTCGCCAGTATCATAGATGTCAACCCCGCATTCAGTCCCCCCCTAGCTCAACGTTCATCCTACAAAGTCCCATCGCAAGAGGAGAAACACACAAAACACATCGACACGTAACACTTTTCGCCCAGTATTGAAACGGATGTAGGCCGTATGAACCTGGAAACTCAATTTTCCTGTACAAGAATACGGGGTAAACCCTAATGGGTTTGACAGCTTTGCAGTATACAGACTGTGCGAGTCTCGAGGATTTTGAAACATTCGAATCTATTAGAGAGATTGTAACACTTTAACTGCACCGACTTTGAGTGAAGAGTATCCTTAAGTTTGGTGAGCATTGTACATTCAACATCATTGACGTTGCACTCTGCACTTCGATGTCAATACGGTCGACAGCAAAGCGTGGATATTGAAAGTAAAAGTTATTGCTCGTAACGTTATGTATGATAACATTCTTCACATTGATCGTTCGAATTCATGGCATTGATAACATTCATTACAGCGTCTCGGTAGCATTAGAGAACATTATTAACTAACGTTAATGAGTATACGTATAAGCAACCATACGAATATAACATGAACATCGGTTTTTTATTTAAAGTTTTCGTGACTGCAGTGATTCATATTCTTGGTTCTTTCGTAAAGTCACGTTGAAGGGAAACAATAAAATAGTAAAATATATAAAACAAGAATATGAACCAAGAATATGAACATTGATGTCATTCGTAACAACACGTTAATGACAGACATGATATCATTATAACAGATCAATTGTTGGAAACAAAAAATCACATGCTTGATGTGTCTTATGAGTTTTTTATAACGGTTTACACGGTGCGTTCTGTAACAATACACCTGATGAATATTAACACACGTGTATACATACTGTACTCAAGTGTATATTCGGGGGGGGTGGGGGAGGTTTAAGTTTTGCTTTTGCTGCGTGATGACCCAGCTGCGTTCTTCCCCAGCCACTGAAACTGCTGAGCATGCACCACCACCACCTCCACCGCTGCCATGCAGCTGGGTGCACTCATTTTGGTTGCGTTCCCATTCGCCAAATGTCCACGTTTCAGATCCACACGGCACGGCAGCTAAATTGTGCACCGATGAATAAAAAACAAAACTCCCCCCCCCCCCCTCCCCCCTGTTCATTCCTTGTCGTGGCACAGCCTCGTCTCGCCGTCGACGTTGCCTGCCACGTTGTTCGTTGCCGTGGCGATTGGAGGTCGAGCATCCTAGCGTCCCACGAGGTGACGGGGGGTGGGCAGACAACCGAGCGAGCTGCCACCATGGGATCGGACTTGGGCTGCGGCTGGTTGTTGGGCTGGGAGGCCCCGGGGCTGCAGGGTGCCCTGGTGGCAGCGCTGGGGCTGTCCCTGAGCGTATGGCTCACCATCCTGCTCGTCTTCATTGTGGTGCCCGCCACCTTCGGCATCTCCTTCGGCATCCGGACGATCTACATGCGCAGCCTGCTCAAGATATTCGAGGTGAGGGTGAACGGTCTGCGGAAACGGGTATCACAGACCTACGTCTGAGTTCGCAGTAGCTGTTCCCCCTGGCTATGCCACTGGGGGTAGTGTTCATCATGTGAAAACTGAAATTGAAAATTTTAATTAAACCATAGGCCAAACTGAACACCGAATCAAATACCATGCTTACATAGCATACTATGGCATGCACCACAACACTACCCCAAAACATCACACACCGGCTACACACCATACAGCAATACTACGAAACAAAGATTCCCCGTATCGCCTGTAACAGACAGTTGGGGCAAGTACTGTTAGCGAGTAGCACCTATGAAGGCCGGTATGGCGCACCTAGGGGGTAGGTTGCCAGAACCACGCCCTGCCACCTTTGTCTCCCTAGTGCCGATGTTAACCCACTGCACCAGGTACTAATTTGAGGCGGAGTCGACGGAGGGGAGGCCCAGGACCGGTTCATATAATCGTCACTGATGTTGGCCGTGAGCGGGAATCGAACTCGGGTCACTGGGTTCGTAGCGCAGCGTAGCGCTAACCACAACACCACTGCTCTCTAATACTCAAGTACACACCATTTGCCACACTGCATCTCACCTCATATACCACTCGCACAATTGCCCACACTGCACAGTCACATGGCCCTTATCCACAATGATTACAGTATGGGATCCAATCTCTGCAACGTTGGTTTAAAAAAATAATGGTGGAAAAGCTGCTGGAAGGAAGAATGAACGTTTCAGATGGTTGCAGTTAATGTGTTTTCCTTTCATGGCTAAACTTGTGTAAATTAGTATTTGGAATGTGGAATGATTTCACATTTTCAGAGCTGCTGTGTGTAGTCTTATAATTGTGCAAGACATTACAAACACCATCCCAGGAGGTGACTGTTATTACAGACTAGTACAGTAGCTTCAGTCTAACAAGTGTCTTGATGCGTCCAATAATTTCACTTATCATAACAAGTGCAGGATTACGTACAGTTCCTATCTGCACGCTCCTTCCCGATTCCTCTTCCCCTGTTTAAGCAACAAGTACTCTTATGGGAAGAGAGCGAATTCCCTTCTGAGGAAAGGGTGGTGCGGTCTCTTTTTAAAAGGAGCGCCCTCCGCCAGCGACCCCGTGAACTGTTTTTTTTTGGGCCAGCGAATGCCACTTGACAAGTCATCCCCGTTTGTCCAATTGTCATCGCATTCTTCACGTCCAATGTTTATCCTAACGCTTCCGCCTGCAGACTTTACTCTTGGGATGGCTCGTGAGCGTATTGCTAGCCACCAAACTCGCCCTAATCTGAATTTAAGAAAGTGTTTTTTCCGTTCTTCCGATTTACAAAACCCTGGCACTTAAAGATAACTGTTAAACATGCCATGGCGGCCTCTTCTTCAACAGCACGTGAGAAAATGTGTACATATACGCATTTTTATACATGAAGTCGTCCTATTTTGGATGCATTTGAATATTCACCCTGGTTTGCGAATAAAGTGGCCAACTTTGCAAGCTGTTGCTGTCACTTGAATGAGTGCAGCTGCATTCTATGCTGGTAATGAATAATGTGCATCAATGAACAGATGTCAAGCCTCAGTGCATGTGTTGTCTGCTAGAGCAGTACTGCAACAGGTAGCCCCCTGCGCTTTGAGCCCGGTGACCCGAGTTCAATTCCCACTCATAGCCAACACCAGTGACGATTATCTGAGTCGGTCCTAGGCCTCTCCTAGGTCGACTCGGCCTCAATTGAGTACCTAGCGTGGTGTGTAAACATTGGCGCTCGGGAGTAAAAAGGCAGCTTTTGTCATGGTGTTGGCCACCCACCCCCTCGTGCGCCATGCCGGCTTTCATAGGTGCTTGCACACAGTACTTTCCCTAAGAGTCTGTTACAGGCTATAAAGGAGATATTTGCATTTGTTAGACCCCCGTCCAACCTCGTCCAGCTTCACAGGTATGCGTTACGGTCTAACTACAAAGTCTGAGCTATGGAATCAGTTCCCTGTTGATTGAATAACCCTGTCATTGAAGCCGAACATGTTTTTGGGAATCATGCAGACAATTTTGCAAACATGTTTACAGTATAACTATATTCATTTTATTTATATGAATGATGTATCATAACATCTACAGAAAATTGTAAACACTGCAACTGTTTTTTGGCTGACATTCAGGAGGAAAAAAATCGGCTTATTCAGCTGTTGAAATTTTTTTCCAAGGCGTTGTCACTTTTGTTCCTTTAAAACATTGCATAATTGCCATGTGTCAGATGCTGTTAAAGCTCTTTACAGTAGGTTGTGCCCTGTAGGCGAGGATGACGAGGTCGATGTTTGCATCTGTAAAGCAATTTATTGTGAGCCCGGATTGCATCTTTATTTGCTCCTACGAAAAAAAAATCCCGTGTGTCGCAAGGCAGACACGCACGCACAGGCGATGGGCACACCCCCATAGCATCGAGCGACACGTGGATCGGGCTGTCCCGGAAGTGCGGGAGTGGCGGAGTCACCGCTGGGTGCACCCGTTGCCCCACGCACAGTTCCCCGAGCGTGCGTACGGATCTTGCGTGCGAGTCACCGTGGCGCAATGGGCTTTGTGTGCTTTGCCATGGCGTAACCTCGCGACGTGTGTGCTTGCAGTGGGCCACCTTGAGGATAGAGCGTGGCATCAAGGAATCGAAGCACAGGGCGTACAATACCAACTCCAATGGTGAGTGGGTGCCCACTGCTTACCAAACACTACCCCCCCCCCCCCGATGTTTACCAATTGAAAGAGTTTCCTGTGCACGTGTCCAATGCGTTAATAGTGATAAAAACGCCCTTTGTTTAAGCCAGTAAAAGTCATGGTGAGTCTCAAGCCTCATTTTCAGGAGTTTCCTGTTTTGGGATGTCAGGTCAATGCCATTGATACGTGTTTTGATACTCATCGAAACTCAACTTTTCTGCTTTGTGTTCAATACAATATAGGTAATGAGTTATAATCTGACATCTGGTAACTTTTTTTTGCTCTACAATAAAGAACGGGGAGACGTTTCACAGGTGTTTGCGTGTATCTATCCATTTGGTGACTTGCAGAAGGGACTCGACAAGTGCGAAAAGAGTTGTAACCAGAACTAAACTCGGATAGTGTTCTTGTTGGTCGTGCTTGTGGTGTTATTTTCGCTTTCACACGGTGTCGTGTTTTGCTTGTGTATTTATGCACATTGTAATTGAGTTAACTTGAGTTCTATTAAACTAATTTGTGTAAACGTGATCTTGCATAAGCACTTGGTCCGCAGCACGGACTCTTGTTGTTGTATTTTCACACTCTTACGATCATCTGGGAAATGTCTTTTGGGCAAATCGCACCAGATTTCCTTTCACGAGCAGATCTGTGGTCTTTAATGAGGTGTACAAGGCACAAACTAAATTATTGCAGTACAATTAAGCATTTAAACTGTGGGCACAGCTGCTGGTTCTCTTATGGCGATTGCTTCTGAAGTGCTTGGTAAATGACGCAGCTGTCACCGACTTGTTTTAACATTTGTACAGTCATTCAAATGTCAATATCTTGGCGTGCTATAGCTTGTGAAATTAGAATACCTCGTGTTGATGAAACTGCTGTAGACCTAGGTAGGATTAACGTTCTTTCAATTTGTTGTTTCTCACCCGCCAATGGCATGTCTCTTCTGCGTTACTCACACATCTGATTCATCTGAGTTAATAATTTATGATAAAAAATAAATAAAATATTGTAAATATGTATGGCTGTGATTGTGACACCAAGTAATTTTTCATTACAGTGTACAATTAACATGAACGTATATGTAACATCACTGCAATAACTGTTCACAAGTTTGGTGGTATTTCATGCTTTTTATTGGCTTGCTAACTTCTCATTTAGTGTCGGCTATAAAAAAAAATACTCCCTTAAAAAGACTTCACTCATTCTCCTTTTAGCAGATGGCTTCTGAAATGCCGCCATTGCAATTCTTAACACTTTGTGTTGAACGCACTTCACAAGCACTTCTGTTAAGTCAGATGTGGCAAAGTGCGTTCGCATATTTGTAATTGTAATTCAACGGTGCCTTCCAAATTATTAGCTATATTTATGAAACCCCATCAGTTTGTTGGGGTGCATCGTGATTTAGGCATGGTAAAACATATCATACCTACTATAATCACCCAGGAATGTCTGTTCTTAACGCTCGTGACGTCACTCCACGTCAACCAGCCCCCCTCATTAATAATCATGAACAGGTTACGTCCTCCATGGACCCCCCCCCCCTCATTAATAACCATGAGCGGGTGACGTCACTCCACATGGATCACCCTCCCCCCTCATTATTAATCATGAGCAGGTAACATCACTTCACACCGAACAGCCCCCCTCATTAATAATCATTATAAGGTGACGTCCTCCAAATGGACCCCCCCCCATTCATAATAATTAGTGGCTGACGTCACTCCACATGGGGGGCCGAGGCGCCTCCTCCCCCCTCCTCGGCGTCAACTCACAACCCTCACTACAGAGGCAGAACCCTCATGTCACGTGATCTCACCCTCACTACAAAGGCAGAACCCTCACGTCACGTGATCTCACCCTCACTACAAAGGCAGAACCCTCACGTCACGTGATCTCCGTAACGCGATTGAGACATAGAGGTAAAAAGGACGTCGTGATGAACAAGGGATTATAACCTTAAAATGAAATAGGTCTTTGTCACTGCACCCTTACAAATTGCACACGCATTAATGCAATGACTATCACGTCGCGTTCTGCTTTTCACTGCAAGTTTCAGATTTACTGCAATATACCCGTCCCTTGGACGGGCAAAAGGCTAGTTATAAATAAGTTGGCTATATTAACAATAATTTGAGTTTGTATGATGCTATGCAAGGCAAGCGTATGAACTTGAACGGTACACACAAAACAAATAAATGAAAGCGCAAGTAAGATGTGAGTTGAACAAATTAAGCAGCAGTGAGACACACCTCGGGACAAACCATTGCAAGCACTGTGACCCCCCCCCCCCCCACGCTAAAGATTGACAGTACCATATTGTGTATTCAGTTTCCAATAGCAAACTCCTTAAAAAAACACAACATAGCACATTTGCTATGAAGCACATCTGCAAAAAACATGGCCATTGCCCACAATGTTATCAACGCAAGTCAGAATCAGAATATTCCAATTTTGGCTATAAAGTTCTTTCACAGTTGTCCAGTAGTTTCACAGATGTCCAGTCGTGCTTTTGGGATGCCAGAAAAGTCGTCGTCGTTGTTTGTCGCAGGAATCCTCGTCAAGGTGGAGGAGAGCAGCCTGGGGGAGGAGATCGCCAAGGGCCGGTTGGCGGTGGGCGGGGAGCCGGCGCCCGAGTTCGGCCTTGCCGACACGTTCTACTTCTGCCGCAAGGGCCTGGAGGCCATCGTTGAGGACGACGTGACCAAGCGCTTCACGGCCGAGGAGATCGAGTCGTGGAACCTGCTCACTCGTACCAACAACTACTTCCAGTACATTAGCGTGCGGCTCACCGTCCTGTGGGGCCTTGGCGTCGCCGTGAGATATGGCTTCCTGCTGCCACTGCGGTCAGTGCCCCCCCCCCCCACCTACCCCCTCCCCCCAAGCCTCCCACCCCCAACACAGCTGACAGGGCTGGATGATGCAGAGGCTTATAAAGCGGCGGCCTGGGGCCTCGGGATTCTGAGGGGCCATCAAAAATGCATAACGATTTATGATGTTCGAATACCTCCGATTAGCACAGTTGGCTACGTACGGTGGGAAAGAAGTTCAAGAGTAAGGAATAGAATGCAGCCGAGAGGAAGTCCACTAAGGAGATGGATGTGCAGGTGCTGGGTGGATTGTTGGAGGTGGCGGCCTCTTGGTGAGACCTTCTTCCAGGAGTGGATTAACCATGGCTGATGTTGATAATGTTTGATAATGCACGATGATAATATTCTATAGGTAATTTGGGAAATAAAGCCATAGTATCACAATATGTATGCCTACCAGTTGTGCAAAAATGTGAAAATCTCTGTTTTTGTGAACTTAGAATTAGCTGTGAAATTTGTATTTAACATTGAAAAACCGGAACTGAATTAATCAAGGTAAATAGCAATGGAGCGTTTGGCATCATTCATTTGTGGTTGTAAAACAGCAAGGGGAAAGAATTTAATAAACAGAGGGACCCCCAAACTAACAGACCTGGGTCCCCCATTAAATGTAAATCTGGCCCTGCCTATATATGTTGCGATGTGCACTCTCCTTTTATTTATTGTAGCTTGGAGCACAATGTGTTTTTACAGGTAGTACACACCAATTAAACACGTTCTTCTTTAGGCACATTGCCATGTTAATTTTTCACCGCTAATTTAATTATCTTGAATGCGCCCCAATATATTCTCGTCCACTTTCATCATTGTGATCTCGGTCCACCTTCAATAACTGCCGTAGATCCACGTATTCTGCTGTGCCTTATGAATCAGAAGCAGAAAAGGTTAAGGAAACGGAAGAAGAGCTGTAAGGTGTGCACATTTGCAGCGTGGTGCATGCTTGGAATTACATTGAGAGAGACAGAGGAACGCATGGATTTGAGAATGAATGCAGATTAAAAACATCTTATTTACTTTGAGTGAAAGTAAGTGGTCTTTGGTAGGACATCACTAGAAGAGATGATGGCCGGTGGTTGAGAATAATGATGGAGTCGCAGCCAAGGGAGGGAATGCGCCAGAAAATACTTCCATTGCAAAGATGGAGCAATGAAATTGGATCATATGCAGATGCTTGGTGGATTGTATCATGGCAAGACCATGAGTGATGGTGATGGATTTGGGAGGTCTTCATTCAGCATTGGATTAATTGTAGATATTTATGATGAAGAATTTTAAATGTCGGCCAATTTGTGGATTCAACTTGCCATGTGAATCAATCGTTATCATTCCCATTCCGCAATAGTTTAACTCCTGGTGGAACGTTATCCCTTTGATTTGTTTTCTTTGTCTGATTAACTTAGAACCAGGTGGGAGCCCTTTTGAGACTAAATGTCTCTATTGCAAGGAAAGTACTAGCAAAAAGTCAATAAATGTGGTTCTATGGGTCGACTCGCCCCACCATAGGAATGTGGAATTTTAACCACTATCTTGGTGCTGTCAATAGGCTATGTGCGCCACCGCATGCTCATGAATAAATTGGAAACCACTCTTGACTATTTTCCTTTTAAGTGGGCAGCCACTAATGTCTCCCTTCCACTGGCACATATCAGCCGAGCCCTCACAGGGTCTCACCGTACAGGTTGTTTTACACTGGTGATATGCCATACCGTGAACAGACCATGATATACCTTGTTCTCACAAGACCATTGAATATAAAGTAGAACCCCTCTTAACGACAGTAATTGGTTCCATGAATCTGGTCGTTAAGTGGTTTGGTCCTTAAGCGAGTATAGGAAATACATGTTAAAGCTTAATTTGTTCCGATAGCATCGAATGTTCGCCTTTTTAACCCAAAAAACGTATATTATACATTTTAAACAATTGATATTAATATATATTAAATACTAACAAAATTATAAACACAATATTAAAAGAAACATGGTTAATCAATGCATTAATTAATATTTACTGTACCTACAACAGCCTGTCATTACCAAGGGAATAGTTGGTAAGCGAACACATTGGGCTCTATGGAAGCCCTATCGTTATTTGTTAACAGGGGTGGTCGTTAAGAGGAATTCTACTGTACCTCAGAACCCAGTCAGGCCAAGGGCAGAGTTTAATGACAACGTACGGCGCGCGTGACGTCAGTACACTGTGAGGAAAGATGGAACTGCAACATGGCATCGCCACTCCACACCATGCAAAGGATGCGATGGCAGCAGCACAACTTGGTTTTCTGCAGTGGAAAAACAACTTGTGGCTCCTGACCCGTGAAGGGCCTGGCTGCGAACGGTCCTGGCATGGTTTGGATGTGGCAGTGGAAAAGGGATCTATACGAAGGCACCAAGCTCTGTTCTTTGTCAGGTCAAGGTCCCAGTGCCCATCGGTGGGCAGTGTAAACATGAATCTGACCGTTTGCTCGGCCTGCTTTGAATTTTCTCATCTGTTTGTGCAAATCCTCATAAATGGATATTGCTAAAGATTTTCTTGTTTTCGTGTTAATTGCTTTTCCCCATAAACGGACCATCGGACGTGTTGCGTGCGATGGTGACTTTGGAGAAATATATAATCCGTGGTGTTTTTTTTCTTTTTGTTTAATGTGGCTTGTGCTCCCCAGGACAGAAAACCACAGGAGAGAGAAGCATAACTTTCTAGTTGACCACCAACTACATTAATTGTATTCAATTCTTGCTCTAATGTGTGGTTTGGCGAACAGTTGTTTTAAGATTGCGGGTCCGGGCATGTTATTGAAGGGGAATGCAAACCCCACGTCTAGTGCTGCGCACTGCCACATCAGACAAGTGGTCTGTGGTGGGTGCATGGCTTTTGCCAAGATTAGGTAATAAACTAAGTAGTAGTATTTCACTGAAATTAGTGGCCACGATGGTCTGGGAGATTCTTAACACACGTGGTCATGAGAAGCGCTTTTGCTGAACATTCCAGCTCGCACCTATCCTCAAACTAGCCGGGTTAACTCTGCTTGTGTTGGTGCTGTTCTGTCAAGTCGTGCTTGTGTTGCCTCCGAAACGTCGTGATTTAATCTAGTTGTTTTCATTTATTTTGTTTTATTGATTTTTTTACCAATGTGACTTTACCGAAAAAACCAAAGAGTATAATGCGTGCTCATTTTGATTTCCCTTCAGGGTGACTTTGGCATTTATCGGCATTGGCTGGCTGGTGGTCAGCACTACGCTTCTCGGCTATTTCCCCGAGGGCAAGTGAGTACCCACACTTGTGCACTGGTTGACTTCGCACCCTGGTCCAATTAACATTAACATCACCTGTATGTTTGTATGTTGAACTTCTTTCTCACCATACGTAGCCAACCGTGCTAATAGGTGGTGTAGGGTAAGGACAAAACTAAACACAAATCATAAAAAAAAATATTTAAAAAAGCATAGCTCCAGTGGCTTCCTAATGTTAGAAGGAAGAGCTTTCCAGACGGCTGCATAAATGCATCTGGAAGCGTGCGATATAGTGATCGTCTTTGTTCAGTGGTTAATGGTTTACCAAAAGCTGCTACGAGTATAACCAGAGTTTGCGTGATGGTTTATGCTCCCTTGTCTGTGGAGGCTGTGTACAGCCGCTGTTAACGATGAAAGTAGAATTGCATCCAAACCAGAACCATTTTTAACTTGCTTCTCACTTTACGGTTGTCAACGAGCAAGGGGGGCTTATAATGTAGGAGGAAGCTGTACATTTTTTCACGTTTAAAACTTACAAGCAAGCTGCCCGCTTGGAAATTAATGGGGTAATAATGCAACGATGCATCGATTTAAGCTGATAAAAGTTTTGTTCTCACACTTCCTTGCTTGCATCCAACTGTGCATGTAATATAAGATTTATGCACGTGGTATGCTCATGTTACATTTAGGCTAATTAAGCAAGCAAAACCGTACAAACGAGAACAGCACAAAGCACAAATACAAATGAGATGGTAAAATTGCATACAAGAAAGTATGGCATTAATATCCCAAATCCTGACAATTTATAGAATCACTGGTGGGGTGAGTGAATCTGTATATGCCATTTCCTGCTGTGGAGTCTGCATCGATTAACTCGATACATACCTTGAATTGCGTCTAAGAATAGATTATTTACACTTCGTCAAAGTAATATTTCCAATATGTGTTGATGCTAATGAGCAAATGTGATGGAGCAAATGAGAGTTAATACAATGTAATGGGAAAAAAAGCAGACAAAAAGATTATTATTACAATTTAATTGTGATCCTGAATCTTCACAATTCATTAAGTTGCCAGAGAAGTGAATCATTACATAGTTTTTGTCAACATATTTAGTTTTGAAGAGTTGGTGTAATGGGACCTCCTTTGCCAGTACCAAAATATGAGAATAGGTTTTCTCTTTTTTCTGGCAATCAAACAGGTGTTAAGATATTCTTGGTTCTTTCGGTAAAGTTACGTGACTTTACCGAAAGAACCAAGAATATGAATCCCTGCAGTCATCATGAAAGCTTTAAATCGAAATTTAGGTGTTAAGATGTTAAAACACTAAACTGAAACCTTTTACAAGGAATCATGTCTGCATTAACCACAATACTTGTGGTCAGAATGCAAAAAAAATAACCACTCTGATAATATATGCATTTTCTTTTAAACTGGTCCACTCAAACAGCGTTAGACCAGATCTAGCACTGTTTGAGACTAGGCTCCAAAGAAAGCTGTCTCTGGTGTGGACCAATCAGTTTCAAAGACAATGCATATATTATCAGAGTTTTTTTTGCATTCTGACCACAAGTATTGTGGTTAATGCAAATATTATTCCTTGTTAAAGGTTTCAGTTTGGTGTTTTAACATCTTAACACCACCATCCATCACAGAAGAATTCTCTCATCAAGACTCTGTATCATAGAGCCCAATGCATATCCGACCAGGAACACATAGGCAGTGAACTCAAGCACGTACACCAAGCTCTTAAGGCTAATGGTTACTCCGACTATACAATCCGCAAAGCTATCACTCAAACCATGAAGGAAGGACCCTCTTGAGGAGCCTTTCAAAACCATCACTTTACCCTACATTGCGGGGATCACAAAAAAGATCTCCAAAATCTTGAATAAACACAAGATCCAGGTCCGTTTCAATACATTACATAAAATCCGTGATCTGGTTCCGTCTGTAAAAGATGTGATTCCAGACATACAGTACCCTGGTGTCTACAAACTAAGTTGCCTCTGTGGTAGTAGTTACATTGGAGAAACCAAACGCCATGTCTCGGACCGCATTCGTGAACACAAAGCAGACCTTAAACACGGTAGGACCAACACCTCGGCCGTGGCAGATCATTGTTATAATTCAGTAGGCTCACATGACATTGACTTTTCCAAGACAGAGGTTCTTTGTAAGCCATCTGGCTACCATGAGAGATTCGTTCATGAGGCTATCCACATATACAAGCACAGAGACGATTTCAACCGAGAAGATGGATTCTGGCTTAGCAATCATCGGAAAGATTTGATAAACCATTTCAGGTCTTAATTGATTGTTCACGCTTACAGTGGCTTTCAGACAGCATACATTAATTTTTCGTCTCCGCCCTCCACTATTCAGAACATAGATGGACTAGTCCTTCTAAATAAACTGCCAAATCGCTGCGCGTGGCGCTGACGTTTTTATAAATAAGTAAATACGCCGTTTAAAAATAAATAAATTAATTGCGAACCGACACACCTGATGACGACCGTTTGTGTTATGGTCGAAACGTCGTGAGAATTTTTATTGTTTCATATATTTTTTATTATTTTATTGTTTCCCTTCAACGTGACTTTACCGAAAGAGCTAAGAATATCTTAACACCTGTTTTGTTGCCAGAAAACAGGGTAAAACCAATTATCATAGTTGATGTAATGTTACACTCTATCCCAGTGATATCAGAAATCACTTTTGCTTTTAACTCATTCTGGATGTTCCATGTGAGACAATTCCAGATCATATTTATTTCTTCATCTCTCGTCGTGACGTGGAAATAAACATTCGAAATAAAAACATAGCGCAACATTCCCATTTTATGCAACAGCAAAAAAAACCCCTCAAATCTGCTGGTTAAATAATGAGCCACGCTGAACCCACATGCATCCACAGTGTATGTCTGCCACATCACAACCTCCTTAACGCTGATGCCTAACACTCAACGATACCCAGAGAATTACAATAATAGATTGGTAGATGTAGTAGTCATATGCCGAATCACCCCATTGGCTTGTCGGTAAATTGTCACATTTCAGGGTTGCGATTCAATTGGGCGGACATTATTTTTTTTGTCTCGTTTTTGCTGTTTTGTTCGTATTGTTTTTTTATTTGTTCTGTATAATTAAGTTGTGTTGGCTTCTTACCCTACGACTTATCATCACACTAATTTTTTCCAAAGGAATGCATTAACACCCATTGTGTTTCAGAACTGCGGCTTGCTGAAAGTTGCCTCAGTCAGACCAGACCATGTTTAGGATTCTTAAGATTCCGTGTAAATGCCAAAGGCTTCTTCGACAAGGCAAACTCGGTAAACTTAATAAGGATGTTAAGACTAGTGGGGGGGAAACATCCCAAGCCATTCTGTGCCACCACCTTGTTTAACTTTAGTTTGGTATTGCTTCTATCACAAGTTCCAAGGACTGTTCTTGTTCATATGTCCATATTATGTAATAGACTTGACAAGTGTTTTGTTCAGGCTCAATGTTCCTCTCCAGTGAACCTTAAGGCGCAGACTGTGTCTTTTACTGTTTAGTAATGCGCTCTTGCTTAACAGTAGTGCTACTCATTAAGCAACTTTTGGAGGTTTTGGCTTCAGTTTTGTGGCTGAGAGTGCCTAAATATGTGTTTACAGTATAGCTGGCTGTATGGAAGAAAAAGTATTTGATGATAAAAAAAAATGTATTTGTAATGGTGCACAGCAATCGCTTGGTCAATATGTGTATCAAATACAATCTCTCATTTTGTCTTTGCTTAAAATGTGAAATCATCGCTTTGGAAGGCTTCAGAAGGTAGCCATGCTAACCACCATATGCAGACATCAGAGGTCATTGCAGCAACATTCTGTCTTCCACTGTACATATATGCTGCTACATTTTTGCTCCCTGCCTTCACTGACACTCAGCAGTGTTGCGAAATATGGCAAAATAACTCCCACAACTGGACGGCGTGGGGAGGCCCTTATCCAGCAGGGCTGTACATGGCTTTTGTCAAGTGTGAATCTCTGGTGATTTCTTCGAGGAAAGCTAACAACGGCAACAATTTGAGGCAAATGCAAGTGGGCTCAAGCAAAAAGCTTCACTCCCCCTCCTCCACCACCTTCAATCCCGCTTCTGTTGCTGTAACGTGGGTCTGTGAGTGTGCGTGCATGTGGCACCGGATGTCTGAATTCTCTCTACCTGCCTGTCTCGCAGGATGAAGGAATGGCTGAGCGACCAAGTTCACCTCATGAGCATGAGGATCTGTGCCCGTGCCCTCACTGCGATCATCTCCTACCACAATCGGTGACCTCCGCAGCTCTACTCACCATTTGTTTCTCGTTTGGGATTCTGTCGGCTGTCGTTGGCAGATTATTATTATAAAAAAAAAAAATTACAATGATTAATTCAGAAATGTCAAAATTGAGAGGGAACCTGCAAAAACTTGGTAACCCATATCTATATTTATCTATGTTAGATACGCGATTTTGGCTTCATTAAAACATCTAAAGATAAGATTCTGATGTCTATTGTACCATCTCCCCACAGATAGCTGCACAATTAACGTGATAATTCACCCACTTTGTCAACTTGTATGTTTGTTGAACTTCTTTCACATCGTACATAGCCAACCGTGCTAATCGGAGGTGCGGGGAAAGGACAACAAACTCAACTTAAACTGCTCACGTTCAACAACATCCTACTTTTCTGGACTTTAAGTTTTTGTGAGGTTTAAACAAATATATTTCAGCACATGCCCATTAAGTATCATATTTATTTCCTTGTAGGACGTGGATGTAATATATATACTTCTGAGTAAATCGTCTTACGTATATATTTCTAGCCACTGTAATGTTAGTCTTGTTGCTATATTAATCACCCTGGTTATAATTTTAGATTCCTAGTCCAGTGACATCATAAGACACCTATTTTAGTCACGGTGTCGTCAAGTGAGCTGGTTCTGCGTTCACGAGGCACCTGCGGTGCATCTCGGCAATCCATACTTTTAATCCTCTTTGGGGAGTGAGTTTTTGACTTGAAGTAATAATTTAAACAGCTCCCATGAACTACATTTTACAGTGGTTTAGGTACAGCCAACACATAGTTGTACATGAAGCCAGAGAACAAAGGCTGATGCTGAATACAGGAAACGACTTTAAAAAATTAAATGTAGAAACCAACCCACACCATTGTACTGCAGCGGGATGAGGACCACTGTACATTTGTCTTTATGTTAAAAGTGTTGTGCGTGATGCTTGTGGTACATGTTTGCTCGTGGTGCTTGTGTTTTTTGTGTCAAAAACTTTTACAGTGGTATTGGCACAGCCGACACGTAGCCGTACGTGAAACCTGAGCACAAATGGTGACAATGAACACAGGAAACGACTTTAAAAATGAAATATATGGACCGACCTCTACGTCACCGTACCATAACGGTATTCGTTTGCTTTAGAAAATGATTGCGTGTGATGCTAATGGTATGTGTTTGTGCTTGTTTGTGCGATTGTGTGTCTGCTTCATTAGGGAGAACATGCCAAAGAAAGGTGGAATCTGTGTTGCCAACCACACATCACCGATCGACGTCATTATCTTGGCCAATGACCGTTGTTACGCCATGGTATGAAATTCGCACTGCTGCAGTTCCTACCAACAGCCACCACTCTCTCGTTTGAATCTGGTGGATATGATCTTTGTTCTTTTTTTACCAGAAGCTGCATTGATACAGCTGCTGTTTACATTGTAGCATGATCTGCTAGCCACTTCTGGGAAGTTATGATAAGATGAAAATTTAGTGTCAGCTCTTGCTAACGGGAATTTTGTTTCAAAGAAAGCAGGTCTTGGATATATTTAATGCAAGTGTCATTGGATTGATTGGCAAACCTGCATCATCCAAATCTGCTGTGGGAATACAACTGAAATAACGATTATCATGGTTGGCTACGTACGGTGCGAAAGAAGTTCAACATACATAGTGTGCCTCATTTCCCTTGGTGTAATTTCAACCCGATACGCGATGGTTGTGTAACTTATTGAATGTGTGATGGTGGCAGGTGGGGCAGAAACACGGTGGCCTCATGGGGGTCATACAGAGGGCCATCGTGAAGGCCTGCCCCCATGTCTTTTTTGAGCGTTCCGAGATCAAGGACCGGAATCTGGTCACAAAGAGGTACCTTTCATTTGATCGTTTGTTGTCAGTAATGGATGTTTTTTTTTATTACAAGACTGGCGCACTAAAGTGTGAACAGCTTACCTGGAAATATTATTAATGCGCCTACAAGTAATCAATTTAAGCGCATATTAAATAGATTACTTTCAAATGAGGTGGACAAAAAAACACATTTTAACTTTTAAATTTTTGCTCTTTCCTTCGTTATGTATATTATTTTTATCATGGCCTTTTTTTTTACATTGCTGCACAACCACTTCCTTAACGAGTAATGTTCTCAAATAAACCCTGTGCTCTGGCGTGTCAATGTTTACTGCATGAAATGTGTGGTATACATATTATTAAATGATGATGATGAAGACATTTTTCATCTTAGGTTTAGTTATCACTATTCACACAATTGTACTTGATTCTGTGATAAAACCAGATCTTTATTTGAGAATAGTTTTTAGCTGTAAACAACAACAAAATCATCAAAGTGCACCTAAAGTTACATTATTCTCACACTTAAGTCCACATAAGAGACAATAATTATTTCCAACCATTGCACTTAGGTGATCGTTATTTGGGTACAACATGTGTATTCGCCACTGCCTATAACTTCTGGTTGTGTGTTCTTATTTCAGGCTAAGTGAACATGTGGCCGACAAGAATAAGCTTCCAATACTCATCTTCCCTGAAGGTGCTTGTTTCACCACAATATAATATTGTTTTTTAAATTATTTTGTTTAAATAGACATTTATTTTATTCCTTTCAATACTTTTTTGTCAGTGTGCACATTTTTCTCCTAACTAAATACCATTTAATTCTGCAGCTATGCCTCTGGCTCAAGAGAGCCAACATTAAACATCTTGATCCAATTAAATTATTGTGTTGCATAACGTATTCATGTAAAAGTAAACCAATAGAGCAGCAGGAAACAAATTTTCTATCGTAATTTTAATCTTTAATTAGTCATATAATTGTTTATCACAGATGTTCACGTTACTTTTTAAAGTAAAATCACGCTATTATCTAATATATTATCCAGACATAGCCAATCAACAGATGTGCCCAGTGACAGAGATGGTGGTGGGGTCCCATTGACTGGCAGAGTGAATTTCCTGCCTCGATACATTCAGCTGATGGAGTTGTGTGTTCGTGTGTGTGTGAACCAGGAACCTGCATCAACAACACATCGGTCATGATGTTCAAGAAGGGAAGCTTTGAAATCCAAGGGACAATCTACCCAGTGGCCATCAAGGTATCAATCATCAATAACTTTTGCCTATGACACAAATCACTTGGAATGTACCAGATCTCGCCAAATCTCAAAAGCTAAGCAGAGTTGAGCCTGAATAGTGCTTGGACCACGTTGTGGTCAGCAGCGGGGCAGAGCAGAACTCCTCCATTGTTGTAAGGTACTTCTAGCCTCCCACATCTGCTCTTCGTCTTCACTAGCCCACAGACGAGTGAAGTCAAGTCCGGTCAAATAACCGCCATGATCCATGATCCGCATGGCGTTCAGACAGCCTGCAGTACAATTTAAAAAAGGGCTTTACATGGATATATGTTCAAGTCCAATCTCATGTCATTCATGGATATGCCCCAGCGACACTATCAGTTATGTTAATGTGTGGTCATGAATGTGTCGTTAGTATAACCATGGTCATATGTATGTATGTTGAACTTCTTTCGCACTGTACGTAGCCAACCGTGCTAATCGGAGGTGCCGGGGAAGTACAACAAGTTAAAGACAAAAAGCAGTTCGGCATATTGTGCAATTGTGTGTAGACCTCTACAAATTAGGTTTTCAATTCTTCGGCTAATAGGATAACACAAACATTGTAGGTAACGAAGTCTCACCTCTGTTCCCAATGGACGGGAGGCGATGGGTTGCGCTTGCTCACGTTATCGGCATCATCGGTCATGTGACGGTAGACGTGGCTTCTTGAGGGGTTCCCCACCTCCCAGAAGCAATCGGTCGGCCGCCAACAATAAAGGGGGCTTGAGTAATCGTCCACGAAAAGACGTAAGATGATTACAATTTTAGTCTATTAATCGCCACAGCTGTAATCATGTACAGTGAGGGAAAAAAGTATTTTATCCCCTGCTGATTTTGTACGTTTGCCCACTGACAAAGAAATTATCAGTCTATGATTTTAATGGTAAGTTTATTTGAAGAGTGAGAGACAGAATAGCAACAACAAAATCCAGAAAAACGCATGTCAAAAATGTTATAAATTGATTTGCATTTTAATGAGGGAAATAAATATTTGACCCCCTCTCAATCAGAAAGATTTCTGGCTCCTAGGTGTCTTTTATACAGGTAACGAGCTGAGATTAGGAGCGCACTCTTAAAGGGAGTGCTCCTAATCTCAGCTGGTTACCTGTATAAAAGACAACTGTCCACAGAAGCAATCAATCAGATTCCAAACTCTCCACCATGGCCAAGACCAAAGAGCTCTCCAAGGATGTCAGGGACAAGATTGTAGACCTACACAGGCTGGAATGGACTAGAAGACCATTGCCCAGCAGCTTGGTGAGAAGGTGACAACAGTTGGTGCGATTATTCGCAAATGGAAGAAACACAAAAGAACTGCCAATCTCCCTCGGCCTGGGGCTCAATGCAAGATCTCACCTCGTGGAGTTGCAATGATCAGGAGAACGGTGAGGAATCAGCCCAGAACTACACGGGAGGATCTTGTCAATGATCTCAAGGCAGCTGGGACCATAGTCACCAAGAAAGCAATTGGTAACACACTACGCCGTGAAGGACTGAAATCCTGCAGCCCCCGCAAGGTCCCCCTGCTCAAGAAGGCACATATACATGCCCGTCTGAAGTTTGCCAATGAACATCTGAATGATTCAGAGGACAACTTGATGAAGGTGTTGTGGTCAGATGAGACCAAAATGGAGCTCTTTGGCATCAACTCAACTCGCCGTGTTTGGAGGAGGAGGAATGCTGCCTATGACCCCAAGAACACCATCCCCACCGTCAAACATGGAGGTGGAAACATTATGCTTTGGGGGTGTTTTTCTGCTAAGGGAACAGGACAACTTCACCGCATCAAAGGGACGATGGACGGGGCCATGTACCGTCAAATCTTTGGTGAGAACCTCCTTCCCTCAGCCAGGGCATTTAAAATGGGCCGTGGATGGGTATTCCAGCAGGACAATAACCGAAAACACGGCCAAGGCAACAAAGGAGTGGCTCAAGAAGAAGCACATTAAGGTCCTGGAGTGGCCTCGCCAGTCTCCAGACCTTAATCCCATAGAAAATCTGTGGAGGGAGCTGAAGCTTCGAGTTGCCAAACGTCAGCCTCAAAACCTTAATGACTTGGAGAAGATCTGCAAAGAGGAGTGGGACAAAATCCCTCCTGAGATGTGTGCAAACCTGGTGGCCAACTACAAGAAACGTCTGACCTCTGATTACCAACGAGGGTTTTGCCACCAAGTACTAAGTCATGTTTTGCAGAAGGGTCAAATACTTATTTCCCTCGTTAAAATGCAAATCAATTTATAACATTTTTGACATGCGTTTTTCTGGATTTTGTTGTTGTTATTCTGTCTCTCACTGTTAAAATAAAGCTACCATTAAAATGATACTGATCATTTCTTTGTCAGTGGGCAAACGTACAAAATCAACAGGGGATCAAATACTTTTTTCCCCTCACTGTATTTGTCTGCGCATGTGTGTTCGTCTGCGACGCTTGACAGTACGACCCGCAGTTTGGGGATGCCTTCTGGAACAGCAGCAAGTACGGCATGGTGAACTACCTTCTGAGGATGATGAGCAGCTGGGCGATAGTGTGCAACGTCTGGTACCTTCCCCCCATGACGCGCAGGGTAAATTTGTTTTGACTTGTGTCTTTGATCGATCTTGCGTTTTGTGCATTTATAAATCACCATGGGGTGTGAGCTTTGGCAAATGTGTTGTTTTGCCACCCAAAAAAGATCTGGTATGCAGTTTGGTCCACCAGCCTCCGGATAAGTGTTTTCCAACGGCATCTGTCCAGCACTTAAAAACTCTTCTCAACATTGCAGGTGTTAAGATGTTCAAACACTAAATTGATACCAATTGCAAGGCATCATGTCTGCATTAACCACACATCCTTGTGGCAAAACATGCAAACAAACATGCTGTCATAATATATGCATTTTAAAGCGTATTCTTATTTTTTTCCATTATTTTGATACTGCCAAATAGGTCCCATAGATTTGACATGTTGATATACACATTGACAAATTTTTGTTAGATATATAAAAAATCGCTGATGAAAAGAGAAATGATTTGCACACGATGATGATCATGACGATGTATCGCCATTTGCTATGTGCATTGCCCGGCGTGCGTGCCCTGCAGGAGGATGAGGACGCGGTGCAGTTTGCCAATCGCGTTAAGGCCGAGATCGCCAGCCAGGGCGGCCTCGTCGACTTGCTGTGGTAAACGGCACTCGACAACTCGCACGTTACAATCCCATTTCATTACTTTTCCCGTGGTAAGCCTGGCCAACTGGTGCATAAGCATCTCGCCATGGTGGCGAGATGTTATCTGCATCCCCTGGTATGCATCAGTTCGTGGGTTCGATCCCGACCCTGACGCTTGTACATTTGGAGTTTGCATGTTCTCCCCGTGGTTGCGTGGATTTTTCCCCAGGTCCTACGGTTTTTCCCTCCACATTTAGAAACATGTGCTTAAAGAGTATTTGACTGTTGTACATTTATACATGATACACCACTTTGTTGACCTATCATTTGTGGCCAGGTCACTTCTGCAAAGAGCTGTATAGCTCAGTGGGCCTTACCTGGTTAAAATAAAAAAATATAGTTTAATCGTTCTTTTTTAATCTACGTGTTTAGCCCTTTGTAACCATGTCGGCACCACGTGCAACATCCGTGAGCTGCAAAGCGGTTGCTTGGGCCACAGCTTGGCGCAATGCTCCGTCACCTCGGTCGCTGAGGGCTCGGTGTCGGTGTGCCTCCGCAGGGACGGTGGCCTCAAGAGGGGCAAAGTCAAAAACACATTCAAGGAAGAGCAGCAGAAGCAGTACAGCAAGACCATCTGTGGGGAGCCCAGCGAGCAGGGCACCTCATGACACCGGTGCCACGCGTACCCACCACACACCAGCACTCTTCCTGCACTGGCTGTGTCCACCTCCAGTACCGCACATCGACACCGCCCTCACTCCAGCACACCCACTGACCTCCCCCCAGCACTTGCATTCTATGTTACACCTCTGCCTCTGTTGTCCCTCCATGCTACAACTCCAGCTGAGCTGCTCGCAGTCGGCGATACAGGCTGCCTTTACCCTGTTCGCGGTAGATGTGCGTCACCACTTAATAGCACTCCAAATATAACAGAATAGCCTTGGATTTCAAAATGTTTCACCTGCATTCTGTAGCTGGCACTCCACACCAGTACTGCACACGCTGCACGCACTGCACCGGTACGTGCGCACACGTACATGCCACCACATGCGAGTGGCATAGCCTGCACTGGTCTGCCCTACCTTAACCTTGCGTTGCCTGTACACCATCGGACTCCTCTGCACTGGGCGTGGGCACTGGCCTTGAAGAGTCATAACACTACATGTTTTCATTTGTGTAAATTATGTGCGGTGCAACAACACTAGGTGATTACAAGTTCTTAAAGTGCAACTGCGTTTTTTTTATATTAATAATTGTCCGGTCACGAGTTTGTGTGTGTGTTTGGTGGCAAAATTGATCGATTCATGATCATTGTGGGGATATGTTAGTGAGACACACATGCAGACCCTACACCTGCTAACGTACAAGTACACATGTGCACAAAATAAGGCGAGTGCCCTGAAGAGATCACAGCTGCTCAATTGTTACAAACCGGGCAACCTTATAAAAGAAAAAGATAAATTTGAAGGTAACAAATACTGTATGTATATGTGAACTTCTTTTGCACCGTACATAGCCAACCGTACTTATCGGAGGCGCGGAAATACTGGATAGATATACATACGCACATTAGCTTAGAACCTGTCGTAGCCATATTTTAACTATTTTGTACCTTTTGATTATAAAATGGTCCCCAACAGTCGAGAAACTATGATGTATAGTTTTCCCAGGATTGAAACAAAATATGGACCAAGATAAAGTTGAAGCTTTTGATTTGTTTACAAATCGCACCCATAGCTTGCGTTCACGCAGTTGTGGAAATAGCTTCAAATCGATCAGCGCTCATTCATGGGTGCATTTTGGTTCACACGCCACGATAATCGTACCCATCTTGAGTATCCACAAGTGCGTGCTTGCCGTCTCCACACACATGCACAAAAAAGATAACATATATACACTCGCAACGCTGGTTCACAAATGACATGAAATCCTACCCATGGATGCAGACGAAAAGATGTTTGTGGCAACAAAGACGTCTGAATCCTAAGCGTTAGCAGTGCAAATATTTACAGGAAGACAGCCCGTTAATCCGCACGTCCGTGAAAGCGTTACAAGACCACCTGCAGGCTTTGAGGGCTCAGCTTTGGGAAGCTTTGGGAAGTAATTGAACGGAAAGATGGGGGAGGAAGGTATGGAAGTCCAGGCCAATTTTCGACTTTAAAGTTTCCAGTGGGAACATTGTGGAGAGGTTGTTTCGCTCGTTTCTTTTGAGGGCCATGCCTCGCGGTATAATTTTAATTTAATGGATTCTGGGGTCAGAGCTGGTTGTGGCATGCATCTCAAGTGCATTGGGTTCGCACCGACAAAAACAAGAATTCGAAGAGTAATGCAAAGGTCTGAGATGTAAAAAAAAAATGAGCATTCTATGCCAGGCCATAACGCATGTAGTGATTTGACTGCAGAGTACTATGGGAACTTGTGAAAGTTGTGACGTCGGTGAGTAAATCATATGTCAATCTTGACCAATAGCCAGCCAGCTCGTGCAGCTGTCTTCACCACATTCAGTATATGACTACTGCAAATTTCGGTACATGAGTACAGGGTTCCCTTATGAGCTTTTTAAAATGTGTAGTTTCCACTTTGGTGGTTCGAGTTGTACACCCACGACTGTGAGTTATAGACAGTGAATAACCTCCCCTACTTCTTTGCCTTGCTTCAAATGGTGTTTTTTTGCTCTTTCTGACAAATATTGAGCTTTCACAAAGCAATGTTTAGACAGTGAAGACAGAGCCCAGAGAAAGACCGAGTGTGCGAAGGGCATCAGCTTAGACTGAGATCTTACATACTTGCCATGCGTTGTGTTGCACATACCGTGCAATCTGAAAACCAAATTGTATGGGAGACAACCCAGAATGCATTCACGCTCGTCCCAACAATTGATGGCTGTACAACTACAGCCATCCAGACGGAGTCTCGGTGTCTAGAGGAGTGGAAATCTACAACGTTATTTTGTTTGTTGCTTTCGATCAGTCGTCTGTCTCGATGGCGCTGATGTACTGGTCAGGCCGGGTATTCCACGCAGTCCACTATGTATTTTATTTGTCACAACAACCTAATGCTACCAATAGAGGGGTGACCTTGTACTTTGTGACGTCTATGTTTTGATTAACCTCAATAACCACACCTGTTTTGCATATACATATATACATAGCAGATTGCAGTGGGTATCTCAACTGAACTATTGGCATGGTATAGAGATAGTTCATTCAACCATCGTGTATGGAGTGTGCCCTGCCTGGGGGATAGCGAGCAACTATCCGTGTTGACTGTTTTTTTGTAGGTCTGCGGTGAAGACTATTAAGGGTGGAGCCATTCAATGAATTGTCGCAATTCAACAATCAATTACTTTCACATTGCGTTGATTAGTATCACCCGTACTGGCTGCAGCGTATATGAATCAAATGTTCCTTCTTGCCCACAGGATTTGGTGTTTGTATCGTATGTTTAATAATTGATATTCTATGAATCGATGCATCTCTAATGTCTCGTTTGTATGTTGAACTTCTTTCGCACCGTACGTAGCTAACCGTGCTAATCGGAGTTGCACACTGGCTGATTCTCGTTCGCCGTTCTCTCTCTGCCCTCTTCTGACCAAATGGACTTCACGTGCATCTGAGCCTGCCTGGGATAGAGGCTGACAAATCTTCCTCCCCATTTTCTAAATAATAATATAATGCCTGAGAAGGCAAGTGAGATGATAGCATACGTGCTGTTAGAGTATACTCTGATGTCAGGATTGCTTTCTCTAAAGCGGTCAAAGCTATGTAATATATTGTGAATGATGTGGAGTTGCTAAGAAACCACGAGGCAATTTCCTGATTAAGTGTTTTTTTTTTCATCACGATAAAAGTTTTTCATGGGTCTGTTTTTTCAACCATACGTAACAGCAAAATTTCAAACACGAAGGTCTTAAGCTGTAGGGATCACAGCCAATGTCCGTTGCCCACCTTGTGCCCATTTTGGCGTAGTTGAAATGGAATGCAGCACGCCAAGCTCAGTATTTTACTTATAGGCAAGGCACCTGGCGTAGAGATTTAGGCAAATTGGTTCAAAAGACACCGCACTGCGGTGGACGGTGTGGTAAACTCAAAATCACATCGACCCTCGTCCGGTTCAAGGTTTGCAATTCATGTCAACTTTACAGCAGCGAGGATGTGAGAGGTAAGATGTTAGATCAGCGAGTTTAAACGCACGTTAATCCAATTGGATGCGATCCTATGTTGTCTGTGTGTGTCCTTTATATAATTGTTCAAGAGAATGTTATTTTTGGATTATTATTTTTTACAACGACCTACTAGGGTGTGTGGCATTTTATGCACTTTATGTTACCTATGATGCGGTCAACATTCAAGGTCATGTTGCGTTCTTTTTTTTTTGCTTCGTTAAGTGAAGTGATGAGTGAATTTGTCCAAAAAGAGTTGGAATATTAAATCCTTACAAGTGGGAATGGGTGTTGTGTAAAATGTTCATAATATGGAATAGTCATTTGAATGACCTGTCATCGCCCAGGTGATTTTTTTTTAATTAAGGAATTTCCTTCAACCGCCGTCATGTCATTTTTTTCTCCAAGATTGTGAAAAAAAAGCATGTCTTCGTGATTTTGGTGCTTGTGTTTATATCATCCCTTCCTGTTTGTCCCATAATGTGCATTTTTAGTTAGTCATATCATTTTGAAGCACTCAGTTTGTGGTTAATCCTGTTGTGCTTAATATATATCAGACGTGTCAAACGACGATGCCTTAGACGTTACCCTGAACTCTTTGCTAATCAGTTTTTCTCAAACTATAGTCGAATGTACGTCAAGCGATGTCAAAGTTAAGCTCTCTTTTTCGACTATCAAATACCTGGGTCACGATCACACGACTACAAGCTAGAGTCAAACACCACTATCTTGATGGCTAACAGCTTTTAACACTGCCTTCCTGTTTAGACTGCCCCCTCCTCCACCGCCTGCACAGCTGAGCGAGGAAAACGATCCCAAGGTTGAGCTGTACTCAGTCGTGTGTTGGGCACCAACCAGTGCAGGGCTCATCCGGCGCTCTGCATTCAGTTATTTTTTGGTTTTCATAGACAACTTCAGAAATGAATGAAGCTGAAATCTTAATCTGGTTGCCTTGCTGGCAGTCATATATGAGGAGCCGTTATAAGAGGGAGGTTATCATCGTGCATTGTTAAAGCTGCTCTTCTCGATTAAGCATCCGCTGACAGTTCTGAATTTTTATGTTTGCAACTTTGATGCTCGTGATTGTGAAAATGTTGAATTGTAATATGACCCCTGATCCATTTTTACACCCTCAAAATTGTATCCGCTACCTCTCTGTGGCCAGGTTCATGCGTGCATACGTTCTGTAATATACAAGTTGTCTTTTAGCACTGTCCCACCCTAACATGCAGCAGGAGCTACGCTCACCGCTTTAGGGAATTGTGAACGGGGCGATGTACACCAACGCACACGAGAAACACTCCAAAATAAAGTCGCCAGCAATTGCGCTCACAATGATCCAGACAGCTCCATTCCAAACGCGATACATGTACATTATACACATTTATTTTTGCTTATAAATCAGCCGGCGTTTGCGTTGCAGGTTTCCAAAGCTGTAAATTCATTTGCGTGCACATAGCAGACGCACACTCTTCTGGGTAGATGTCATGGGTGTGGGTCCTCTAACTCAGTTCATCATTAGGTCTTTCCCCCTTTTCAAAGAATCTCTCCAGCGACGTTTGTTTTTTACTCATTTTGGCCAGGGGTTAGCTTTTGGGCTTACCAAAACTGTGACTGAGACAAGTGCGCAGTGCGGGAAAGAGGCGCGGACGGAATTGGTAAATAAAATAATGGGCGGGCCACGCGCGGACTCACCACTCTCACCTCCTCCTGCTGTGCGGCCTGGTTCCTAACAGGCCACGGACCGATACCGGTTTGCGGCCTGGGGGTTGGGGACCCCTGCTCTAACTCCATGGTTTAGGGTGGGACAGGGCATTATGGCAGGGAGATGGAAATGAAAGCTGCTATTGCAGCTCTACTCCGGCCACATCGAAAAACGTGACGTTCGCTCTTAGCATCGCACCGCGCGTGCGTAAAATTACCTGTGATTCTGAGATTTCAGTTTGTTTACTTGCATTTCCAGTTCGGTGGTTCCAAATGTATTCGCACACCTGTAATTGACTTAATGTTTCTCATTTATTTCATTTTGGTGGGGAGGGTGGTGTTTTTCTGTCGAATCTAAAACACATTTTCAAATGGGAGATGAAATTTCAATCTTAAGCAAAATGTATATACACAGTAAATGTGTATAAATTATTTTGGATTCATAAAAGTAGCCTACCTAGGCATTTCTAATGGCTGTCAAAAAAAATTTTCAAAAAATAAAACAGTGCATGCAACGGTTTTTTTTGCTGCGTTTTTATGGGACTTTCAATAATAATTAAGGCGCAATGTGTTTATATTACGTCTAATTTTCAACAAATGTTCATATCAAGGAGCCATGGCCATTGGCTCACATCAAACAAAATCTAGGAGAGGGGAAAGGGGGGGTGGAAATCACTTTAATTTTCATCGCGTGGTTGAACAACCGCACTGCTGTCTGACCCGCGCATGCGTTTTGGGATGAATATCTCAGTCGTAATCTATCAATGTTTGTGTTTCAATTCGAAAACAAATGATCGCGAAATCATCGAGGTACATATCGTGTTTCTTTCAATACACGCCCATATGTGCCACGTTGACTTAATCACATTGCATCAAAACTCGGCCGTAGTGGGCGAATCTCCGTGTTAACCCGTGGCATGAGGACGAGTGATGTTCGCGTTATTCAATTACGTTACGCCGCGAGCACTACACAGTTGGTTACGTTGAATATCAGAAAGGACTGCGCACATTTTTATTTTACGGACAGAATGTTGGCAGTGTATGTTGGATCAATTAATATGAATGTCTTGTTGATGTTTATGTGTTTTGACAGTGTGTACCTTTTGGCAGAGCAGACAAAACTGTTTATTTTCGTAGGCTGGCTTCGACATTACACACAGCGCAGAAAATGTTCATTTACATAGAAAGATACGACATTTGAGGTCTTTATAACACGGCTGTGGTTGTGGACGCTGCCTTGACGGAACCAGTCCTCTATCAGTTTTTTAAGATTCGTCAAGAAATAGTAAATAAAAAAACATCGCAAATTGCGACCCCCACCGAGCCTTTTGTTTCACAAAAATGGCCCCTCGCACAACGAAGCACCCGAGCGCATCATCACCTCGGACATCTGCCTGGGCCATGTGGTTGTTTGCGCTATCGTGGTAACACAATAGCCGCAGTGACGTAGAGAGCCCATCGCATGCAAGATTTGAAATCTGAACAGCAGAAGCTGTAAACTTTCAGCGTAATATTTCAGAAGAGGGGGGAGGGGGGAAACCACGCCGATATTTACAATCACATGAGCTGGGTTTGAAATGGTTTCAGAAAATCGGCAAAGTATTAAGCTGCCGCGTTGACTTTTTTTAATCTTGTTTTCAAGTACTTCATGCGACGCAAATGATTTTTTGGACGTGTGGCTTCGCCCTGTGACATTCCTTCTTCCGCCTGGAGGAAGAAAGGGCATGCCTCTACCTGGTGCATGAACAAACCATGTTGTTTGGGGCAGCACATGGTTAGATCAAGCACAAGGCAGGGACGGCCGTCTTTCTGGGATCTTCACAAATCTCGGTGGTGGTGGTGGGGGGGTCGGAGGTTCGCTGAAGCCCGGAGAAACTTTGAAAAAGCACCCCGAAGGGTAGACGGTGGTTGGACTTGCTGTACCGCCACATCTTTACGAGTAACGCACCAAACCTGAGTGGCGTGCGGTCCCATCGGAGAATCTGTTCGAGAAATACAATTTTAAAAGATCGTGACTGAAGTGTCCAGCGCAACACACCACACCACGGGAGAGACAAAAACAACACAAGTCTGTTACTATGACAACGCATTGGATCTTACAAATGGGATTTAGGTTTTTTTTCCGGTACTGATCATCGCTATCATGGCCATTTGTTTCCATGGGTTGGGGCACACGAGGGAGCAGTGAATCCACGGAGCCACATCCGGCCACAATTAGACTACCAAAGATAGTTACATTCATAAGTAAATCGTCTGAAAGAATATGGAAACGTTTTGAAGATTTATAATTTGCATTTTTTTTGTTTTAAATTAAGGATTAAAATTATTCATGAACTACAATTCAGCATGGTTACTTCATTTAAACACTTAATAAGCATTTACGTTTCAACAGGATACCTTGCATAAGTGATAACTTAAGCAAGACAGACTACACACACTGACATTAGTTCAATTACCTGCAACCTGACAGCAAATTCATGATTTATATTTATTTAAAAAAAATCAACAATACTTGAGCACGTATTTAAATATGTAGAGCATATTTCCCATTTAAATTACACGACATTTTTTCCCCGCCGCCTAAGACCTCACTCAAAATACAAAACGCACACAAAAATGCAACCCGCAGAAAATAATTCAAACAAAAATAGTCCGAGTATCCCATGTCCCGCTCCATTGCAAACCTCGTGCGCGTCCGTTCCCGTTGTTTGCTGAAGGTGCCACGGTCGGTCGGACTTTGCCCGGCGGCCGCGGGCAGCGAGCGTTCACGCCCGCCCGGCGTCCGAGCGCCCTTCATGCAATCGAGCCGATCCCACTCCTCCGTGCGCTTCTCCCGGCGTGAGTGCCTGCACGGCGAGTCCTTGCACGGCGAGTCCTTGCGCAGCACTGCCTGTACCCCGCTCGCTCGACGAGCACACTGGAGCACTCCCGCACGCGCGCGCGCACACCACCAGCGCCGCCGCCCCGCCACCGCACATATATTAATGGAGTTACGGCAGCGTTTTTGGCCCAAAGACCTAATTTCATTAAGCAAAGTGGCCTATCCATTATGGGCCATTTTTTTGCGGCCCCGTCCAGAGATGCCATTTCATTACAGAGATGGGCAGTAAATCACCCTCCCTTCCATCCCACTATGCACCCCCCACCACTTACTAGGGTTCCTCCCCAACTCTTCTACTCTTCTCTGCCCTTCCCTCCACCCTTCCACCATATGGCCCCACCCGCTCCCCCCTCCTCTCCATCATCCTGCTTCCCTACCCTTCCCACCGCGCCAGACCAAAACGCGCAAGCTTGCCTCGATACGCAACTGCGCAGCACGCGCCTATTTTTGTACGACGCATAATAAATGTGTACTTGGTTTCATTGGCATTAACACTTGCGCTTTAATGAAATGCAATATTTTTAATTGATTGAAAATTGTGCTATTTATATTGTTTTACTGTTCAAAATTTGTATATTTAAATTGTTAACTCTGGACCTTTGCTTTTAGATAACAATTTATTATTTTCCAAGTAACTTCATCAGTTTCACCAAATCTCCGTCTCCACTGCTGGGCTTTGGAAGAAATGTGAAAACTCAGTTGTTATGCACTGTCGTGGAGACAAGCTAATGTTTAGCTGGCTGCTGCGGCTTGACAAATCTCTCACCATGGAATATTCTTGTATCACATTTACTTACAAATCTCACTCATCCGTAACAAATGAAAGGGTGTGCCAACTTTGGTGACCTGCGACTCCGTTTGGCAAATTCTTTTTTTTGTTTCCATTTTCCGGTAAAGCGCACAGACAGATTGAACAGATACCACAGCGGTGGATTAATCGGAGCTCGTTATCGGATGAGCTGAAATGAACACCACGCAGCTTCTCTAAAGAGTCTAGAGGATCCTGTCCGGTGACAGGTTAGCTTTGATGCATTGCTATCATACATTGATACCAAGTATATACAACCCTTTGGCAATCCACTTCTGGATGAAGGCCTCTCCATGCCGTGTCGTTCATCGGAAATGTTTGGCTCCTCTTCACCACGCGAGTGAACATCCTCGGTGTCAGCCATGGCCGGGTTCATTGCGCAGTGCGCTAACCACCGCCTACCGTTCCACTCCACATGGTACGTACACATTAGCTCCACATTACAAATGATCAAGGACCCAGCTGCGTGTAAATTGGAAAACTCTAGGTCAGCTGCGTTACACCCTCAAGCTGCAGTCACAGAGTGGGCGCTAACACAGGAGTGGCTACGTTTGCATCGTAGTGTATCGAGCTTTAGGTGCAATATATACAGCTTAGAATCCTCCCCGAGTCCCTGTAAAACATTTAGGAGCACAGAAGCGCCGTCCCACTTTGCAAGGTGATAGTGTCCTACCAGTAAGTGGTGCTCTGGTTATTGGTTCAATTACGGATAAGAAGAGTCCTACTGCAATACAATGATATTAAAACCACACTCGTGGCTACTGACTCAGCACTGAGCCTACTGTTTGTTGGCTTCTGTAAAATTAACGGTCCCCTCGTCCGAATAATTTGCATTTGTCACCCTTTGAGATGGGAGAAAAACGTGGACTCAAAATGCTGTGGTTTTTGTCGAAAATGTTTGCGGGTGTCTTTCAGCCCGATCTAAAAATGCTAGGTGGTGTCAGGAAACCCACTAAATCCACAATGGTTGTACCCCCTGCTCTAGGGACACTTTCCACAAGGCACATCTGATGTGTGTGTGTAATCATTAAGATTAAAAAGTCCATTCACCCTCCCCACCCACCCCCTCCCCCCTCTACAGAGAATGTTTACAAATATCTTACTACCAGGCAGTTATTTCCAGAATGCCTGCAGGAGTAAATGTAACCTGAGATCGAATTAAACCTCAAAGCTAGTAGTTTATTTTTTTTTCCAAAAGTCCACCATCGTATTCTTGGGGGGTTGTATTTTTTTGTTGTGTGAGAAATGTTCCCAGAGTAGGGAATTGGGGGCCTTGGAAGAGAGATGGGGGGGGGCAGGGGGAGGAAACTATATTGCCAGGAAAGGACCAGTGGGGAGTTAAACAGACAGGGGGAATTGAAGAGAGGGACTAAAGTAGATCTATCGAGTGAATGAGATGGTGAGAGAGTGCACAATGTTTTAACAATGTAAAATGTGCGTGTGTGTGTATCAAGTCATCAAAACCATGACAACAGCAACCACCATTCTTGACATGTTCAGCCAGCATAACAAGTTACGTAATAAGATACATTTTTCATCACAATGAGTATAGCGTTGTATACACCAAGTTGGTATTCGCCACAGTCCATGCAACACAACTCCACTGCTGAGCACTAACCACGTCACGGTTGTGAATAGTTACTGAATGCGCACGGTAAATAGAATTGCAATAACCGTGAGCATCTGTATTCACGAAGGTGGAATTGCAACCGTTCAGCATAGTCAATTTTGGAAATAGGAAATTTAATCGGCAATTTCAAAAATTGTTTCACTTCACTGTTTTTTGAACGCAAAAAGGTGGGTTGCTCGGTATTCTTGGAAACCCTCTCGTGTTTTTAATGCCCCCCCCCCCCCAAAAAAAAAGTCCGGGTACGTCTGGCCTGAAAATGAAATCTCCCTAACCCAGCACGGGACCCGCTCTGCCAATAAATCAATACGGCACGGATATATTAGATTATAAAAATCACTAGCAATTCCTGTAAGTGCACTCGTACAAAGGTAAGCGCGCGCAGATTCTGTTTAAGAAATCATTTCTGGGCCCGCACGCCGACCCACCGCGCGCAGCTCCTTTGTGCGTCTCCTATTAGATTAATGGACGCCGGTGAGTATCAAGAGATCAAATTGTGCATAAACAGACCCTTTGTCCCGGTATTGATCGCATAATGCTGTCAATTAAACCAGGAGCCTATTAAAAAAAAACCCTATGCGGTAAATTAGCATTTCGCTAATTGCGCTGTCGAGTTTAATTTTGCGTAATAATTAGTGTGGCGTGGATAATACACTCAAACTTTCATTCATCTCAATTGTTTCGGAGAGTGTTTTACCCTCAGCTTTACGTTGTTTTTGCTTTGATAGTTAATTAAAAGTTTCTTTATTTTAGCATATTTATTGTAGACAACATTCGGAGCAATGCCAAGGCAGTCGAAGCAAGCAATGCTAGAGACTGGGACATTGGTTGTAAAATCCAGCAGTTTCTGCCTTTATGAGCGTTACATGTTTTTATAATTGAATGGTGCGACACATAGAAATTGAGACATCTGCTCAATATTTTAGTTATGCATCCGGCAGATTCCATGCAACCCACAACTCGGAAATAAACAAGACAATGCAGCCACAAAGTCTGCCCGAGAGTCTCTGCTGCTGATGATGATGATGGGATTGTAGCTTTACAATAACGTCATTGAGCTGTATTTTTTGTTTGATTGTCCAAGTGTACCGGATAGCATTTTATTGAAACTATACTTTCATAAAACATGGCATTGCTTGATGCTTGATTTTAGGTAACAACTTTTTAGCGTTGAAGTTGTTAAGTTAACATGTACATATTACCTGAGGATTTGGTGTGACGTAACTGGTAAACTACCTTCAGATAAAAGTCCCTACAAATGTACCTGTAATGATTCAGATAACATGCACGCTATTGAAGAATTTGATGTTTAGAAAACTGGTGTGTATGTGAAAGTCTGATGTCTCTGAGCAATGTAATATCAGGAGTGTCCTCCTGGCAACCTATGAATTACATGACAAGTCTCACCGCTTTCAATTTAAACGTGCGGTGTGTTATAAAGGAACTATATTTAGACGTTTTTCTTACTTTCATAACTAATGGTTGATTACATTTTTTGCCATTTCAGTCTAAAATACCTTACACATTTGATATTGCCCTGATTTTGTTACATTGAGTGCTCATTTAATTTTTGTCATGCATATTGTTGTGCTTTCAATATCCATTGTGGAAATAATACATTTGAGCAGTCTACGTGTTATTTTCAAGGAATGCATCAGCCACCTCAATAGTCATAAATACAACTTAAGGTGAGCTTCAGAAAGAGTGTGATACTGGCGGTGTTTAATTGTATGCATTTATAATATGTTTATTATGCATATTAAACGAGCAAGCACGGACGAGAATATCTCAAATTAAATCGGAGCTACAATTTTACGTGCATCAAACATTAAAATGTAAACAGTGACGGTAATGTTTAAGCTTTTGCGAAAATCTCACGTACATATAGCTGTTAATTTAGTTTGATGACATATCAGGGGCAACATTCTAATTGTGCAACATGGCAACAAATACGTGCAACAACGAACATTAATGCAGATGGCTAATAGCTGAAAATCAATGGTTCTGATAAAAATAACACACGACAGTACTTAATAACCCTAATGTGAAACTATAATTCACAAAGTGCCTCCACCACTCTGCTCGGATTTGCTTGATAAATAAAGGTGCATTTAAAGCGCATTGAAATTGAGGTTATTCATTTATTTTTAAAGTCTAAATGTCGCCTTATCATAATTTGCAACAGCGTTTATTTATATTCTTTGAGTCTTTCGGTAAAGTCACGTAGATAGGTTGAACGAAAATAACAAGAAACTACGACGTTTCGATCACAATGACGATCGCTTGTGTTGTGATCGAAACGCCGTAGTTTTTTTGTTATTTTCGTTCAACCTCTCTACGTGACTTTACCGAAAGCCCTAAAGAATATGGATTCCTGCAGTCTCGAAAGCTTTAAGTCAAAATGTAGCTTTTAGTTTCCCTGATAACATAGGTCGCTTGGCATGGCTCAAAATATCTTACATAACCTCCGCACCTCCGATTAGCACGGTTGGCTACGTATGATGCGACAGAAGTTCAACATACATACGCAATAACTGCATGTGCATTACAGACAAGACTACTGTCCAATACCACTGCTTGCAGAAGGGCCTCTGCTCGAGCGAGCCATGTTGTGTAAGAGGTGGGAGTACCCACACTTGACCCCACCACACGTGGTCTGTCGATCGTCTCACCGTGGTGTACACATTTGTACTGCTGCGTGAATGGATGGAGCAGGGAAATTGAAGAAACTTGCACCATTGTTTGAACTGCCGCACTGGGAGGCAGAATGGAAGTGGTGGCCTCTGTATTGCAAATCCATTGTGTTAGCCATCCTCGTGGCTGGTACTCGTACTTC